ACAGAATTCCTTCCTCGCTTAGTCATTTCACTTGAACATCATCTCTCTCTGCAAATTGTTTTATAGTACAATGTCCATAAAATTAATTTTCTATGTTTCAAACAACATCCATGGATCAACTTATGGATTCCTGCCAACTTAAAATGTGAAAGCCAGTCAAAACTGCCATGAGAGAGTCCAAATTTGTTACATCCTAGGACTAATACAGGTATATTATATGTAAAATGTTTGTGATATGTATATGACTTTGTGCAGTGTACTTATTTATAATCTCAACTTATTTTAAATTCCTTTTTAATGAACCAATTAGCATGCGTTCAATATAAATATTAAAGTGACTTTAATCTGTTTAACTTAACAACATTTAGTGATTTACATAAGGTATAGTCCTACTGTTGTTTAACTCAGTAAAGTAACATAATCTACTCCTGATCAAAAATTAAAAACTATTTAGACACAATTAGAGTGGAAACATGTTTATGTCTTCAAGACAAAGAAGACTTAATGCATTAGCTTAAGATTTGGTGTATAAAGCTTTCCCCAGAGATATGTCTGGGTGTCAGAAAGTCACAGATTGGTCCTCAGAGCGGTTTACTTACTGAGGCAAGAGAGAGATGACGACCAGCCGTTCTCTGTACATGTGAGCATGCTCTGGGGGCTTCCATGGCTGTAACCAGGGTTGCAGAGGAGTTGCACAGTTTCACCCTGTAAATATGTCTTTCCATTGCTTGCAGAATGTCCATGCTCCAAATTATTGACAACACATTTTCCTGAGAATGGGAAAATGATCATGAAACCAACCCATGAATTTGGTTATAGGAATACATTGACCAAAGAAATGTATCTTTAGGATATTTAAGTGAGAATAATTAGCATCCTCTAAGAAATAGTTTAAGGAAAACTAAAGCCTCTACCAACAGTGTTTTAAAAAGCAAAGTCAATATTAAATAGGATTTATCTGTAGTTTTCACAATTAGAATATGTATAAATGTCATATTCTCGTAGTGTCTATTTTCTGTCTCATGTTTTTAATGAAAAACCTCCAAAAAAACAAACAAGCTGCATGGGTCGTCCTGCTCTCAGAACTCAGCCCTCCACCTTATCTTGGTCATACAGCTCCATCGTTCTCCCTGGTGTGATTCCCCTCCTCTCCGAAGGGTCCCCACGGGCACAGGGAGGAAGAGGTTTACTCACGGACACACTGCACTTTAGGCGTCCATCCCTCTGGTGTGCAAGTGATGTAACCCCAGTAGGCTTTTGAAGGCGGCAAATAGTTGTCATCGCAGGAGTAGTAAAACCACTGTTTCAGAGGAGCGGGGAAGTATGATCTGTATGTGCTTTCTGCATAGAGGACTCCATGCTTTATGTCTGGAAATTCACATGGGTTAACTTGAAATAAAAACAAACAAAAACAGTATAAATCATGTTTTTCTGTAATAGAATCTACTGAGACATAAATGTTTTCCGTGATGAATTATGTTATTGACATAGTTGCACTCATTGCATTAGGGTTTGTAGGACAACAAAGGTTGTAAACTCAGATAATGTAAAGAACACTTGTTTCTGGTCATTTCACAACATGTGCACACTCGGACTCTGTCTGTTGTACACCTGAAACAACACAGTGCTGCCTGTCAGTTCTGTCTAGGTGAGCACACAGACATTCTCCTGGTGGTGGTCACGCTCACTGAGCTCTGTGTCACTGTGATGCCAGCATCCTCTCTAAGGGCATCACACTGTCACATTCATGTGGACATTTGTCCTGAACTGACACTGAGGCCATTGACCTCCTATTAGCATTATTTTGTTTTTCACTCATGGAGTGTCCAGCTGCAGCGTGGATGCCTCTACAGCGACCTGATATGTGAGCAAGAGGAACGTGAAGGTGGGGGCAGAAAGCTCCTGGAAAGAGGCCAAAGAAACCTCCCCAGAATAAATGCCCTGCTGTACTGAGTGGCACTTTGTGACATGTGATGGTGTCAGAAAATCAACTATATCTTCGACTCTCCTCCCTGAGAGAAGGAGCCCTCTGCCCCCACCTTTGAATGTGCGCTGGACTTAAGGACTGTCTTCTAAAGGTAGGAATGGCTCAGAAGACAATGTGTGAGCAAGTCATAGATCACATGGAAGTGTCCTCTTTGTGTCTCAGATCACTCACCCTGTGGACAGTTAGTGCCATTGAGGCCCCTACAGAGACGCCAGATATTAAGGCCCTGAGGCCCCTGCACCACCAGGGAGGTGCCCACTAGGAAGCAGGTCCCAGCTGCACCCAGCCTTCAGCCCACACTCTGGGCCAGTGTCCCAGTGCCGCCCAGAGAGTGACTGGGAAGTAGGGGGCTGGACCTCTCCCCAGGGCTGACCCTGTGACCCTGAATCAGGGGAGAGGGATTGTTCTCAGTCAGTATTCATGGGAAATGTTTACAAAGGAATAAATAACTAATATACTTTTTTTTAGACAATATGAGCCTTAGCCAATGTTTTAGTTTGGGTACTACAAATGTATCACTTACAGAAATAATTAGACATACATGCACATATTTAATGTTGAATAGCAAAACTTAAAAGTTTTTTAGTTATAATATATCACTCTACCCTTTTTATAATTGGCTGTTTTGAAAAACAGAGAATGTTATAAAATCCTCTGCTTTCCATTCTGTGTAGTCAATGATGGTGACTTTTTATGTCCCCATTTTTATGTTTAAGAGAAGTAATTTCAGAATTAGGAAGCAGATAATGATTTGAATGGAACTTACGGCTACATCTGGGAGGAGGTGCCCAGCCTCCTTCAGTGCACTTTGTTGTATTTCCGTGGGAGGAGGGATAAAGGCCATTGTCACAGCTGTAGGTGATTACATCTTCCAGTCTGTATTTGGTCCTGAGAGGTGCGTAGACACCATTGGCAATAGCTGGAGGGTCACAGGTTGTTTCTGAAAAGAGAAAGGACAGGTGGATAATGCAGAAATCACTGTCCAGGAAAAGAGTCAAGTCCATGAGAACAGAGCAAATGTCATGACTCCCCCAGACAATTTGGGATCATCTAGCTTTCCTGTCACCCATTTCCCAGTCAAATTTTCATGAGCATATTCACACAACTCTCTAATATCTGTGCAGAGGCTTTCAGCCTGTAGAACACAGAAGACAGAAAACTATTTATTTTATTTGCCCTGGAGATGAATATATGACAATCTTCCTACAAGATACTCTCTACTGTGAAGTCACAATACTCACTGTTCCAATGAGTAGGTTCATTAAACCCAGAGACACAAGCAAGTAGGAATGACAAGAAGTTGCAGGTGGGAGGGAGCTGAGTGTGCAGCTCTGTGTGCAGCTTACCTTGTCCATGAGCCCAGGAGACCCACAAGGTGACAATGACACTGACCAGGGACAGCAGCATGTTGGGCATCCCCGACGGTGTATCAACACAAATATCCCAGCCGTGCTCCGTGGGGTGTGAGTCTGCCTCGTGAGAGGTTGTTAGTGTGAGCCTGAATTTAAAGGCACTAGCAGGAAGCTGGTTTGTTGAGGTCACTTAGTGAAAATCAAAGTTCAGAGAGTTTTGCAAGATCTGTACATTTTTGTTAATGATTTCACAATCATTGCTTGACTACCTTTTCTCATTGTTCTTATGAAACTTTTCTTAGGAATATTGACACAGAGGCAAAAAAGGCGATATGAACCACAATGTTTTAAAATAAACAACCCTTGAAAAGGGCAAGTTTCTTTCTCCACCCAGAGACAGAGTGGAAATAACTTGAGTCCACATCCCTGTCACTGTCCCTTGTCCTGTATGTGTCCTCACCCAGCCTCAGTGTTTAGGGTCTGTGAGTACCAACCCATGTATCTGGACCTTCTCCAGCCTCTGTGCCTTCTTGTCCATAGAAAAGCACCGATTTTTTTGTGAACTTTTAATAGACCACATCACAGAGTGCAAGAGTTTCCGTGCATCCTGGGCATTGAGATGTTGGTAACTAATGTGCTTTGAGGTACCTTGTCATTTATAGTGCTTCACATTCAGAGGCTTACAATAGAAAAATGGGAGGTATGAAGTCTAGCCCTGAGAGGTAGTTTGACTAACATACTTGTGCTCAATTGTAATTTGAAGACTGATTTTAAGACAGTGCTTTCTATTTGATGGGGACTTAAATGTTTTTTAAGTGCTTTCACAATAAGCATCGAGAAAATAAAAATTCAGTTCCTATATTAACTTGGCATGAGTTATATTGTTCCGTGACTAGCTAGTATAAGATGTGCAGCTTTCATATAAGGTGTTGCTTGTGTCAAATAGACGAGCAACTGCCCGACACTGTGACACAGTTCCCACCACACACAGGGGAACAGGACGAAGGATGGATCTGTGTCACCCTCACAAACTCCTTCCCTGATCCAGGGACCCCCTGCTGATAGCAGCAAGGGGAGAGAGTGACAGGCCTGTTCTCACTCACTGCTTTACCATCTAACGTTTTCATTGTGTTAGCTCCCCCAGTAAATCCGAAGCTCACATGTGTTCAGTGTTAAACCTCCAATCCAAGATGCATAAAGCCACACTCTTATCCATACTGAGTTCAATAATCTGTAGGCAGTAGCCCTGGCTGGTGTGGGTCAGTGAATTCAGCACTGGCCTGTGAACCAAAGAGTCAGTGGTTTGATCCTCAGTCAGGCCACATGCCTGGGTTGTCCCCACTTTGGGGGTGTGTAAGAGGCAGCGCACTTCTGTGCTTCTGTCCTTCTTTTTCTCCCCTGCTTTCCCTCTATCTAAAATAAATAAAATAAAATCTTTTAAATAATGTCTATGCAAGTAGTCCTATCCCTGGAATGGTGAATAATGCTTTTCTCAGTAAAGTCTAAATGATGACATAGTTTATTTTATTACCTTTGTGAGAAGATTAGGTTGAAAGTTCAGACTACTGTATTGTACTGATTTCCCTGCAATAAGATAGAAAAGAGCAGGAAATGTCTGGATATTTTTAAGAAGTGATGAGCAAGAACAGGCAACAGGTGGAAGCTCCTTCATTCACATCTGGGCAACTGCACTGTCCCTTCCCGACACATGGCTTCAAGTGACTGCACTGAAGTCACTGCACTGTGTCCCAGTTTACACGTAAATTCTATGATATCCCTTGTTTTTGCGTAGTGTGTCTTGTCCTCTTTCCCTTTCAACCGTATGTTATTTTCATTCAGGGTTTCTTCAGATATGACACAGGGATCTGAAAGTAGACAAATAAATAAAAACAATGAATGACCTTTGCTTTTGTGGACTAAGAAAGCTCTCAGCTAATGACTAGTTGAGGACAACATGAGATGATGATGTAGTCTCAATGGCTAATATTTATTAACGTGGGCTAAGTGCTATCCTTGGCACTTCCTGTGGTATCCTCCAGCTCCTTCATGGGGCAGCTACTGCTAGTCACACACTAGGAAACTGAGGCAAGGGCAGTTCAGTCATACTGTCCAAGGTCACGGGGCATAGCAGGGGGCAGATGTGTGTGGACCCTGGCACCTGAGTCTGGAGCCTTGACCTCTGTCTCTGGTGTGCATGGCACCCACCCCTGTGAGCTCATGTCCAGGGGAGGTATGTGAACCTGCTCTACATGGTCATGGCTTTCACTCTCTGTTTCCTATTCAGCTGGCAGTGACTACAAATGCTCCAAGTTCATTCACACTCTGCTAAGTTCAATCAATGTCTATTTTTCTCTTATGCCCACAATGTGGAAAGAGAACTATAAAAAACCACAAACTTTCTAATAAACAATCATCTATTAAGATACACTTATATGTTCTATATATATATAAATAATCTTTATATCTGTACATCTATCTACCCACCCACCCAATAATCCACTATATTCTTTCTCTTTCTTTCTTTCTTTCTTTCTTTCTTTCTTTCTTTCTTTCTTTCTTTCTTTCTTTCTTTCTTTCTTTCTTTCTTTCTTTCTTTCTTTCTTTCTTTCTTTCTTTCTTTCTTTCTCTATCCATGAATCTGATCTTTTTCATTCTCTGTGGTCAGGACAGGCTGCAGAGAATCCTTACCTGCCAGCAGGAATCCTTACCAAATCTGCCAACTTAATATGAGAAAGCCAGTTATAACTTTATATTAGAGTCCTAATTCACAACATCATAGCACTAATGCATAAAATTATATGTGAAATGTTCGTGAACTGTGTGTGTGTATATATATGCACCAACGGGAAGTCAGCTTATTTTTAAAATATAAGGTATATTTTAATTTCTTTCAATGAATACATTTAGCATCATTTCAATGTAAACACTAAACTAACATGACTCTAACCTTTGTTTTATTTAACATCATTAGTGATATTCATGAAGTATAGTTCTGCTGTTACTTAATTCAATAAAATGACATAATCTATTGTTTTTTAATATGTTTAAAGTGCTTAGACACAATTAGAGTGGAATTGTATTTATGTCTTTAAGACAAATAAGCCTTGATACACTCAGCTTGAGATTTCATACATAAAACTTTCCACAGAGATAAGTCTTGCACACAGAAAGTCATAAACAGATTGTATCTCAGAGGAGCTTTCTTTCTGATGCATTTGTGAGGAGGGGACCAACCATCTCCATACACATCATTGTGGTTGGGAAGGCTTAATCAGGATGGCAGGTAACTCTCACAGACTGACCCTGTAAATATGTTTGTTCATCAGGTGGGGAATGTCCATGCTCCAAATAATTGAAAACACATTTTCCTAAGAATGATAAAATGATAATGAAAAACCCCACTGGTTGATCAAAATGATAAATTAAAAATTATCTTTATGATATATAAATTAGAATGCATAAGCATCCAAAAGTGACTCATAGAGTCAAGTAAAGCTGCCACTAAATGATTTTAAAAAGAAATTGACAGTGAATATAATTTATCTGTAGATCACAATTAGAATATATAAAAATGACATAGGTATTCTGTAGAGCCCATTTTTGTCTCTCATGTTTTCATGTTTTTGATGAAGAACATCCCACAAAACAAGGATTGGTCTTTCTGCTCATAGAACTCTCCCCTTAACCTATGTTTGTCATGCAGGCTTAATTGTCCTCACTTGTTTAGTTCCCCTCCTCTCCAAAGTGTCCCCATGGGCACAGGGAGGAAGAGGATTACTTACTGAGGCAGGGAACTTTAGGAGACCACCCTCTGGTGTGCAAGTGATCATAGCCCAGTTTAGTTGTGTGAGAGGAGTCACATAGTAATCCTCACAGGCATAGTAATACCATTGTCCCACAGGAGTGGGGAAATGTTTTCTGTATATGTCTTCCCTATAGAGGACTCCATGTTTTATTTCTGGAAATTCACAAAACTCAACTTGCAGTGGAGATAAACAAAAAAACCAGCATAAATTATGTTTTCCTCTAATAGAATCTACTGAGAGATAAATGGTTTCCCAGATGAATTATATTATTAACATAGTTGCACTCATTGCATTAGGGTTTGTAGGACAACAAAGGTTGTAAACTCAGATGATGTAAAGAACACTTGTTTCTGGTCATTTCACGACATGTGCACACTCGGACTCTGTCTGTTGTACACCTGAAACAACACAGTGCTGCCTGTCAGTTCTGTCTAGGTGAGCACACAGACACTCTCCTCGTGGTGGTCATGCTCACTGAGGTCTGTGTCACAGTGATGCCAGCATCCTCTCCAAGGGCATCACACTGTCACATTCATGTGGACATTTGTCCTGAACTGACACTGAGGCCATTGACCTCCCATTAGCATTATTTTGTTTTTCACTCATGGAGTGTCCAGCTGCAGCGTGGACGCCTCTTCAGGGAACTGATACGTGAGCAAGAGGAACGTGAAAATCAAGGCAGAAAGCTCTTGGAAAGAGGCCAAAGAAACCTCCCCAGAAATAAATGCCCTGCTGAACTGAGTGGCACTTTGTGACATGTGATGGTGTCAGAAAATCAACTATGTCTCCCACTCTCCTCCTTCAGAGAAGGAGCCCACTGCCCCACCTTTGAATGTGGGCTGGACCTAGGAACCATCTTCTAAAGGTAGGAATGGCTCAGAAGACAATGTGTGAGCAGGTCATAGATGACATGGAGGTGTCCTCTTTGTGTCTCAGATCACTCACCCTGGGGACATTAGTGCCTCTGAGGCTCCTACAGAGATGCCAGATATTAAGGCCCTGATGCCCCTGCACCACCAGGGAGGTGCCCACTTGGGAGCAGGTCCCAGCTGCACCCAGCCTTCAGCTCACACTCTGGGCCAGTGTCCCAGTGCTGCCCAGAGAGTGACCGGAAACTAGGAGGCTGGACCTCTCCCCAGGGCTGACCTTGTGACCCTGAGTCAGGAGAGGGTGGTTCTTCTCAGTCAGAATGTTATGGGGAAGTTTTTACAAAGAAATACATGACTAACATACTTGTTAGATAAGACTAGTCTTAGCCAAAGTTTTAGTTCTGATACTTGAAATAAATTATTTAGAGATATAAACACATGCACATATTTAACATTGAAGAGTACAAATTAAAAGAGTTTTCAATTACAATTGTAAGATTTCATCTTACTGAGATTCAGCCACTTTGAAAAGCAATGGATGAAATGAAATCCTCTGCTTCGCATTCTCAGCAAGTCAGGGAGGGAGACTTACTACATCCTTATCTTTACATTTAAGAAAAATAATTTCAGAATTAGGAAAACAGGTCATGATTTGAATGGAACTTACAGATGCATCTGGGAGAAGGTGCTCAGCCTTCATCAGTGCATCTTGTCTCATTCCTTCAGGAGGAGGGATAAAAGCCATTGTCACAGCAGTGCGTGATTACATCTTCCAGCCTGTATTTGGTCCTGAGAGGTGCGTACAGACCATTGGCAATAGCTGGAGGATCACAGGTTGTTTCTGAAAAGAGAAAGGACAGGTGGATAATGCAGAAATCACTGCCCGGGAAAAGAGTCAAGTCTGTAAGAGCAGAGCAAGTGTTATAAGACTCCTGAAGACAATTTGTGATCAACTAGCTTTTCTGTCACCCATTTTCCAGTCAAGTTTTCATGAGCATATTCCCATGACTCTCTAATATCTGTGGAGATGCATTCAGATTGTGGAACTGAAAGGACAGAAAGCTATTTTATTTTCACCTGAGATGAATATACATTAATCTTCCTACAAGATATTCTCTTTTGTGATGTCACAATACACACTATTGCTATGAGTCAATTCACTAAACCCAGATACACAAGCAAGTAGGAACCACAAGAAGTTTCAGGTTGGAGAAAGCTAAGCATGCAGCTCTGTGCCCAGCTTACCTTGTCCACGAGCCTGGGAGGCCCACAAGGTGACAATGACACTGATCAGGGACAGCAGCATGTTGGGCAACCCCAACAGTATATTAACACGAATATCCCAGCCGTGCTCCGTGGGGTTTGACTCTGCCTTGTGAGCCGTTGGTAGTGTGAGCCTGAATTTAAGGGCACTACCAGGATGCTTTGCAAAATCTGTAAATTTTTGTTAATGGTTTCACAATCATTTCTTGACTTTATTTTCTCATTGTTCTTGTGTAACTTTTCTTAGAAATAGTAACACACCTGATCCAACAGCGATATGGAACACTAATTAAGATTAAACAACTTTTGAATTGGGCGAGGTTCTTTCTCCAGCAATAGGTGGAGTGTGAATAAGTCCGAGTCCATGTCCCAATAACTGTCCCTTGTCCTGTATGTGTCCTCACCCAGCCTCAGTCCTTAGGGTCTGTGAGCGACAATCCGTGTATCTGGACACCCAGTTCTGGCCTCTGTACCTTGTCATCCATAGAAAAGCACTGATTTTTTGTAAACCCTTAATACACCACACCACAGAGTGCAAGAGTTTTGGTGCATCCTGGGCATTGAGATATTTGTAACTAATGTGCTTTGAGGTATCTGGTCATTTAAGGTGTACTCTATTCAGAGGCTTACAATAAAGAATGGGGATTATGAAGCCTAGCCCTAAGTAAATTGGAGACTGGTTATTAGACAGAGCTCTTCAATTTGATAGAAACTTTGTTTTTTATGTGCTTTGAGAATAAGTTATGAGAAAATAAAAATTCAGTTCCTATATTAACTTTGCATTAAGGAAACTGTTCCGTAATCAGGTAGTATAAGATTTGCAGCTTCCAAATAAGGTGTTGCTTTTGCAAATAGAAGAGCAACTGCCCGACACTGTGACACAGTTCTGACCACACACAGGGGAGCAGGACGAAGGATGGATCTGTGTCACCCTCACAAACTCCTTCCCTGGTCCAGGGCCCCCCTGCTGACAGCAGCAAGGGGACAGAGTGACAGGCCTGTTCTCACTCACTGCTTTACCATCTAACGTTTTCATTGTGTTGGCTCCCCCAGTAAATCCTAAGCTCACATGTGTTCAGTGTTAAACCTCCAATCCAAGATGCACAAAGCCACACTGTCATCCATACTGAGTTCAATAGTCTCCAGGCAACTAGTCCAGTCCTTGAAATGGTGAATAATGATTGTCTTGGTACAAGTGTAAATGATGACATAGTTTATTTTACCACATTTGGGAGAAGATCAGTTTCAAAGTTCAAACTACTGTATTGTACTGATTTCCCTACAATAAGATAGAAAAGAGCAGGAAATGTCTGGATATTTTTAAGAAGTGATGAGCAAGTACGGGCAGCACGTCAAGCTCCTTCATTCACATCTGGCAACTGCACTGTCCCTTCCCAACACACGGCTCCAAGTGACTGCCCTGATGTCACCGCACTGTGTCCCGGTTTACACATAAACTCAGTGATATCCCCTGTTTCTGTGTAGTGTGTCTTGTCCTCTTTCCCTTTCAACCGTATGTTATTTTCATTCAGGATTTCTTCAGATATGACACAGGGATCTGAAAGTAGACAAATAAATAAAAACAATGAATAATCTTTCTTTCTGTGGACAATGAAGCTTCCACCCAGTGAATAGTTGAGGACAACATAAGATGATCATGTAATCTCAATGGTAATATATTGATGTTTGTATTTTTCTGTTATGCCCACCATGTGGAAAGAGACCTAAAAAAACACAATATTTGTAATAAAGAATCTACTTAAATATTAAAATACACTTACCCACACAAATGTATATAAATCATCTTTATATCCGTCCATCCACCCAATGATTCAATTACACCTTATCTATCTATCTATCTATCTAGCTATCTATCTATCTGTCATTTATCATCTTCTACTTGCTCAATGTCAAGACTGGCTGCAGAGAGGCACAGATATACACATAGTGTGGATTTGAATCCCAACTTGTTTTGATCAAATTTCTCTACCTTTCTATATCCCTGTGTCCTCTTGTGTAAAATCATTATAAATATTTCTTTTTTTGGAGTGTTTTGTGACATCAGAGTTTCTAGTTTATTGCTATTGCAATGTGACTGCAAACAGAATTTCATATGTTACAATATTATTGTAGACATTGTCTCTTTCTGTAAACAAGCTGCTACTGCATTATAGAAATTATTACATGTGAGTAATTTTAACTTTCTTCTGTTGAGTGTGCTGGGGAGGTGTTGGAGAATAAGAATATATAGCTTTCAGGGGTGCGATTCTCTGCCACATCATAGGGTGTCCACCTTCCTAAGTCAAGTCTTTTTCTGTCACCAGATAGTTGAACCCCTTTCCCTTTGTACCCCCCATGTCCTTTCCCTCTAGAACCACTATACTGTTGTCTGTTCACTAGTTTCTGTTTGTTGTTGTTCTAGTTTGTTCATCCATTTCTTTCATTTTTATGTCCCATGTATGAGTGAAACCGTGTGGTTCATGTCCTTTTCTGTCTGACATTTCACTCACATGATATTCTCAATGTCCATCCAGGTTGTCACAAATGTCAGTGTTTCATCTTATAGCCGAGAGGTATTCCATTGACACGTGTACTGCATCTTTATCCAATCATATACCAAAGTTTGAACACACCGTGGGCTCCTCTGTCTCTTCTGTTCACCCCCAGTGTGTTGCATTCTAGTTCCACCATCACTGACATTGGTGAGGCCTTAGAAATAGCTCCAATTATGTCCCCACACATCCCATTAACTCTTACATGATGAAGCTTCATAAAAACTCACATCACTTGGGATATTCATAGGTTTTCAAAGTCCAACAAACATTCTCATGTATGTTAATAACCAAAAGTATGTACTATATGAGGTCTACATACCTCCAAACATCCATTCCAGGAATTCCCTTTCTGCTTTTCTATTGAACTTTTCTTTACATTTACTGAGTTTTAGTAAGAGAGGGATGGAGGAATAGAGGGGAGAGAGAAATTTCATCAGTGGCCCCCTGCACACATCTGGGGACATATATGACCTGACTGGGATTCAACACTTGAAATCTCCAATCAGTGACTCAGAATGCAGTCTGACCTCTCTGTCACAGAATTGCTTTTGTGTCCTCAGATGACGATAACTGGTTCCCATTCTCAGTGTTTGGAGAAGGGAATGCCTGTGCTATGAATCACATATTAGACTTGTCATTCAAAGGTGAGGCTGGGAATTTATCTTGGAATTTCAACACCTTTTTTTCCCCTAAACTCTAGTTTGGAGCTATTTCTAGATGACTCTGACTTGTGGGTGTGCAGTCGATCTCCAGTGCTGCCACTTCCAGGGTCAGGAGCACCGATGTTGCTACAAATCCCATAGAAGGGGACACATACACGGGATTTCCGTTACATGTGGAATCTAATGAAGAAAATAAACTAAAAAGTGGAGACAGACTCTTGGATACAGAGAACAGACTGAGAGCTGTCAGAGGGGAGGTGGTTGGGGGCTGAGTAGACTCATGGACATGGACCACAGGATGGTAATTTCCAGAGGGAAGAGGGGTGAGGGGAGCTGGAACAGGGTAAAAGGAGGATGAATGGTAAATGGATGGTGGATGACTCAAGGTTGTGAATACAATGTAATCTACAGATGATGTATCATAGAATTGTACACCTGAAACCTGTATAATTTTATTAACCAACTCACCCCAATAAAAGCATTAAAAAAGGCAAATAAAAAATCAGCATGTCTGAACCTTCCTGTTTTAATGAAACTTTGTCATTGTTTACTTAGGAATTTTCCCAGCATCTGGCCTTACAAGTGAGTGTTAGAATGTCCAACCTCCGGCAGGACAGCTGTCTGAGAACACAGTCTAGAGTAGCACTGCAGGAGTGCTGGAGTATGTATGAGCACTGAAACATTACTATATTTTTTTCCGGATCTGGAAGAATATGGAAAGCTTACCTAGACATTTTGGTGGTTCGGACCACTTAGCATCACTGCAGGTTACATATTTAGGACCCTGAAGTTCATAGTAGGCCTGGCATTGGTATTCAACTCTTGACCCCGGAGGGTAGGCAGTCAGTGGGAAGGAGGTGATGTCTCCATTGCTAACAGCTGGAGGACGACCGCACTTTTCTGCAGATTCTAAAAAATAGCATTTTCAATGTTGAGGAGAAATTCTAGTTTTATTGCAGACTATGCAAATGAAGCTCCATAGGAACTCTGAAGACTGTCCTGCATTGTAAACCTGTGGCTTTAAAGTGTGGTGCATAATTTCCACTCAAACGAGCACTGTGTTTAAACAGACTTTTCAACTCTTTGCAAAGGAAGCACTGGAAATGAAATACTTACTGAAGCAGCTTGGCAAGCCCGACCAGCCATCCTTTCCACACACCATGGTGCCTGAGGTGTGTCCATCTCGGGTTTCGTACCCATCCAGGCACTGGTAGTCCAGCGTGTCATTGGGCTTAAATGCTTTTCCAGTGATGATGGCTGTGGCATTCTCAAACAGTGGCATGTCACAATGTTCTAGAGGGAAGAAGAGTGGACAGTTGCATGTCTAAGGCCACACCATGGATAATGCAGCAAGGAGACCCTCTACTGCCAGAAATCACCATGACCCTAAGTGGGTGTGACACCAGTGAAAGTATCACTTGGAACACTCTCTGACACTCAGCGTCACTTTGTGCAGAGCACCCTACCACACATCTTCCTGTGCATTGCTTTCCTGTCACTCAAAGCCTCTAAATAAATGTATAGAAGAAACATCCAGTCACATCAATTTTTACCTGCATGTTGCTGGCTGTTACTGAGTTACAGTAACGTAGTATGATGATGTTATCATTTTAAGGCCAATGAGTTTGTGAACATAAGAGGCAATGCATCTATTTATGTACCAGACATTCTTAGAATGTGTATGTTAAAGTTGTAGTCCTTGGATAAACAATCCATGTATTTACGTAGTGCACCGTCTCATCCACATGATTGCTATAATAGAAAACTCATTGAAATTGAGTATAAAAATGAATTGCAAAGGTACAGGATTTCATTAAAGAAAGGCCATGACAAGCAAAGAAATGGAAAACAGTGTTTTAAAAATGTTAGATTGATATCTTACAAGTCAACTAACTCATTAGTTGGTGTTGAGATAATAAACTTTATTATTGTGTTCAGAAATTTTTACTCAGGATAAAGTTTATGAGATATACCTTATCTAAGTTGTGTTGAATAATTTGTATTAGTGGTTTTTGCTAATTTTATGCTATGGCAAAAGTAATTGGATGGGAATATTGGTATGAGAAAAGTTTTGGATGTAAAACCATACATTGGTAACTGTTAAATTTAACATGCAGGTGGTCCTACAATGTTTGAGCGGGGAGAAAGGACCTGGGTCAGTGGTACTGAGGTTTGTCACACAGAGAGGTTTCCTCTGTCCTTCCCCGTGTCCTCATGGTAATAAGGAAAAGCTCAGCATGTGTGAGACTGTGGGTGTCACAGAGGGTTAGTAGGTTAAGACTCTGAGGAAGGGATCAGGTAGAAGGGGTTGATCACTTTAAAATATGAGGAAGGGAATGAGAAGAGTGCGTCAGGTGACAACACAGTTCGTGTTGCCAGTATGCCCATCAAGCTCCCTAAGGAGTCCCTCCCCCATGGGCTTGCTGTGACAAGAGTCACACTGAATGAATGGAAAGAGATGGATGACACCCTTCCCCATTAGCAACCACTCTACACACAGAAGTGTGTGTCAGCCCCGCGTGTTAAATGCTATCACCAATATTTACCTATCTTTTTACTCTTCTAGTGTTGGTGCATTTTTACATACAGCAGTCCCCTCCACGACATGCACATGCTGACAGAGAATGGGTGGGACCCCTTATTAACTATGCAAACGGGCTAGGAGGGCTGTCACCTTGGCTTAGTGGATATATGCATATCACCATCCCCTTGTCTCTCTTGCACAGTGACCAGGTCTTGTTCCCACCTACTGTAGGTGTCTCTGGAGAAGGACCAACTGCCCAGCCTTCCCTGAGCTTGTGGCTGTGAAACTGAGATGTGATCTCTGCCATATAAGGAAATGTTTTCTTTTTAAGTTTTTTTAAATTGTTGTTCAAATACAGTTGTCCCCATTTTCGCCCACGTATCTCCCTTGCCCTACCCCCCATCCCACATTCAACCCTCCTTTCCCTGTTCTCTTTTTCCCACGGGTCCTTTATACATGTTCCTTGACTTGACCCTTTCCCTTCTCTCCCCCTTTTCCCCCCCGACTCCCCACCCCCTCTGGTCCTTGTCAGTTTGACTGAGAGGAGCACTAGCCTCCCCTGGAGGACAGCTGGAATATTCCATCTCTGCCCTCCCAGTGTCTATAGCCTCCTTGTCCACTGTCCTTTGGTGACCATGGAATGGAGAACCACAAGTTGGTGAGAAGAGACTAGGGAGAAGTCTGGACCCAAATAACACAGGGCCAACTTTGCTTTTGAACTTTTCACCTTAGTAGTTTAATTTGGGGAAATAAGCCTTAGCAGTTAAAATCCCAGGGATTTGATCATTGTGTAAATACATTAAACAGATTCCTACTGAGTCTCCTCCCATGCTGTCTAACATCAGATGGAGATCTTGTCACTCCCACAGATTCCACCTACACATCCTCTCGTCCCCATTTCTACTCACACCCCTGGAGTACCGTAGTCCCACTGCCTGGACTGTCCTATCAGGGACTGTGGGCCATTCCTGGGGAGCAGCCTCAGAGCAGCTTCCCATCAGTGCAGACTCGGCCCTTCCCCCACGGGAACCTCCCAGGGCTCTCCCTGCAGGTCTGCTCCTTTTCACTCAGGGCTTCCCGGTTGGACTTGAACCACTTTTCCTCCTTCCCGCTCTGTTTGTGCTGCACTGGCCATCAGCGGTCCTCAAATACACAGAATTCCTTCCTCGCTTAAGTCATTTCACTTGAACATCATCTCTCTCTGAAAGTCATTCTTCCATTGTCATGGGGACTCCTCATATTTTGAACTCTTATCTGTTAGCTTCTCTGCTGGGTCTTCCTGCACAACGCCCACACATGAGCGATGGTCTGTTGTGACTCCTCTCATGTCCCAAACAGCATCACTCACACTCACTGATTACCTTGTCCTTATTGTTTTCTTTCAGTTAATCTCCTTAAATTTTGTTGCATAATGTTTAGTTTTTCTTGTATATAGTTTTATTTTTTAATAACTATAAATGTGCTTAGTCTACCATACTTTTGAGGGAATTAATGATAAGTATTTAAAGCCCATCTTTTAGGTCCCCTGGCTGCTCCTCAGACAGGGCTCACTAGTTACTGAGTTCCCACCCACATTCAGTGATCACAGCTTCTCTGTAGACATAGAGGACTCCAGTTGAAGTTCAGCTCTGGTTTCTCATGATTTATAATATAATTTCCATTAAATTTGCTAAATTTTAAACAACACCCACAAAAACAACTTAGAGGCTCCTGTCAGCTTAAAGTGTGAAAGTCAGTTACAACTTCATATTAAAGTTCTAATTAATAGCATCATAGCACTAAAATATAATTTATATATGAAATGGTTGTGAGAGATACATATTTGGCAATGGGCAATCAGTGTATTTATCTTTAATTCAGTTGTATGTTAATTTTAATTTTTTTCTTCAATGAACACATTGAGTATGATTTTAACGTAAATAGTAAAGTGACTTTCACCTCTGTTTTACTTAAAATTATTTAGTGACTTTCATCAAGTATAGTTCTACTGTTACTTAATAAATGAAGTAACCTAATCCATTTGTTATTATCAATTTAAAACTATTTGGACACAAGTAGAATGAAAAGGTATTTATGTCTTTGTTTTAAGAAAGAGAAAACTTGATACATTCCCTTTGAAATCTGGTAAAGAAAACTCTCAGAGAAGTAAGTCTGGGTCTCATAAAATCACAGATTGGTTCTTCTTTTTTCATTCTGTATTTTTTCTCAAGGAGGTCTCATCATTTCTGTGGTGATAATCTCAAACACAGATCTCCTGGCTAGACCTAATTGTCCAACTCTGCAGTTTACAATCCAGTTTTGATTTTCCCCGGGCAGCTCAGCGATCATGTGCCCAGGTCAAGTTGAGATGTTCCTTTCAAAGTACTCTTTCTACTGCCTGCAGCACCTTCCCAAGAGCCATCTCTACTTACCTGCTTACTTATGAAAACAACTGAAAATAAACACAAGAGTCCTTTGATGATTATCCTGTCTGACACCCAACATTCAGGAACATTACCTGTGTTTTCCACCACCAAAGATAACCCAAAGCTGTCCTCTGCTCTGCGTCTCCTCAGCCATCACTCTGCCCCATCCCCACCCAACATTCTCCCACATTGTGAGTAGAATCCCTGACAATATTTCCCAAATATTGTTTTGTTTTTAAAGCTTGGCAAACACTGGTCCCTGCAGGGTGAATACTCTGCATTGCTCAGTTGCCCACAGATTGCAGTTCTATTTCTAACCCTGGAAAACAGACAGCTGACTGGCAAACCTGAAGGAGATTCACGTAACAGTCCACAGAACTACTGAGAATTAGAAAATAAAGAGCCCCCCTAGGGATCTGCAGAAATTAACTCTCAAGCAGAGTGGTGGGTGTGAACACAAACTTGGGAGAAAAATTGCTGAGGAAGTTGTAGGGAAATGTAAATTTGGTGATGAGTGCCTGGTTTTATATAATGTAAAAGCTTGTATTCAGAGTGAGAGCACAGTTACACTTTCATCACAGATCTGTGATGTGCTCGGACTACAGGGCATGTCAGTGCACTGGGTTGGATGGGATATTGTCTTTAGACATCAAAACCCCTGTCCTCCCTATTTGCATTAAATCAGAAGGAGACACCTCAGTGTTATTCACTGTGCATTAAAAGTAATTCCACATAATCCAAATTTGGTAAAAATAAAACATTTTAAATGATTTTTATTATGATAATCCTTAAAAGTGACTTACCGTGACAGGCGGGTGTATCAGACCAGCCACTGTGACCACACACTATGAAGCCTGTGGTGCGTCCGTCTCTGTTTTTATATCCATCCTGGCACTCATAGTCCAACCTGTCATTGACCTTAAACCATGTGCTGCCAGTTCTGGCTCTGGCATTCTCAAACACTGGCATATCACAAGATTCTAATGCACAATGGAATTGAAGAGTTCATGTCCAGTAGCATTTAACAGACACTCTAAAGGGGTAAGTCCCATCCCAAGGAAACACATCACATAAGAGCAATCTCAGAATACCAGTGATAAGCCACTGTCCTGATATTGTTACTCAGGATGAAAACAGGTGTTTCTACAAAGCAGTTTTACCATCACTTAAATCATCTGAACAATTTAAGGACGTTTTTCTCAGTGCCATTGCACTCACACATTTATTCCACCCTAGCAGGAAACTAGACCCTAACAGATGTGCTGGACTTTGGTTCTGGCAAAGCAGAGTAGCATTTGGTGAATGGAGGTAGGAGCCAAACTCAGTAGCAGTTGAGCCATCAATGCCAGACATGAAGTTAATTGGTTCAATGAAAAGATTAATTTTCAACAGTGAGAGTGATGTTTAAACATTCTATAGAAATCTACTTTAGAATTTACTAACTTTAAAAATCCACATGCTCATTTAGCTTTGTTCAAATATCCCCTTAATGACTGGATATTCTTATATACTTATTATGATTGAATGTAGAAATAGTTCCAAATTTATAACTAGTATAAGAAATTAAATTGTTGAACAAGTAGTCTTCATTTTTACTAATACCTTACTGGAGTGATGTTAATATAGGTTTAAACAGCTTTCCTTAAACTTTAAAGCATATTAGGTAGCCAGTTAATTTAAAGATTTAAAAAATAAAGAAAAGTATAACAATAAAAATAATGGAGACATTTTTTTCTTTCCTAATAATTACAACACAATAAGAGTGTTGTAATGGATAACTAATCACAATTTAATATAGTATTAGTTTGATATAAAGGTAACTTTCATCATTTTTTTTCTTTCACTAGTTCCCATTGTAAGTACAGAGACTGAAAAAAATGAAAAGATAAAAATGGATATTTTAAATATCCACTTTATGTGAATGAAAAAATATAAGTACATGTCTGTGGGATAAATACTATAAAATGAGAAAACTGTTCTTAGAATATTCTCATAAACATCGAGGAGGCAACAAGCATTTCTTATTCTCCACTGACTCGATGTTGATGTATGTTTTTTAAAAAAATATAAGTTTTATTCACCTGGCTGGCGTAGCTCAGTGGATTGAGTGCGAGCTGCGAACCAGGCATTGCAGGTTCAATTCCCAGTCAGGGCACATGCCTGGGTTGCAGGACATGGCCCCCAGCAACCGCACAGTGATGTTTCTCTCTCTCTCCTTCTCCCTCCCTTCCCTCTCTAAAAATAAATAAATAAATAAATAAAAAGTATAAATATAAATTTTATTCAGAAGAGGGCCTGCTCTGCTGTATCAGATATAAATTACACAGGTGACACTATTCTACAATTATGCACTGTGAACACATGTTTTCATTTAAACACATAACTTTTATGTCTAGGAATGAACATGTACCCAGACATAAAAGTTTGACCCCCTGAAAACAGGCCCAGGCCAAGGCCTCATCTAGAAATGAATGAGTGACACTGGAATACACAGAAGGTCCCTCACCAGTTTGTGAATCACAGGAAGTTTTTTGGAGGGAAATCCTTGAACTGAAAGATGATCTTATAGCTACCTTCTAGTAATCAATTTTAAAAGGTGAAAACTTACATATACATTTCAAAAACTTTTTATTTATATTTTCAGATGGAACCACCTCAGCTTCTGCCAGCCCAAGGAAAGGAAATCAGGTAAAGTAACCATTTCTGCCACAGGCATCGGGGCAATAACTCAACATCGTGAATGACTTACTAATGCACCTGGGGCGAGTGGACCATCCACGCTGCAGACACGTGATCGTTCCTGATGTCTGACCATCTTCTGTTAAGTAACCTTGTTTGCACTTGTATTGTGTTTCTGTATGTAAGGGGTATTTCAGTTCAGATTCAGAAAAAAATCCATTCTCAATTTCTATATCCGACTTTAAACATGTGACTAAATGGGAGAGAGCAGGAGGGAAAGGTAAGCATAGGGTCCATAAACATGATCATTAGGGTTCTAACAATATATACAACAAAAACAACAAAAAATGAGGCTTCTGTTGTAAATGAAAATCTGGAAAATCCTAATCATTCAAGGTGTGGTGTCAGAGACTATAAGCTACAAGCTTCCAAAAATATATATCAAGATATTGTCATCGTTATTAAATAAAGAAACAAGTGCTGGCGAGGTTGGTGAGAAAAGGGAGCCCTAGTGCACTGTTGGTGGGAATGCAGACTGGTGCAGCCACTGTGGAAAACTGTGGAGTTTCCTCAAGAAACTAAAGATGGAACTGACTTTCGATCAAGTGATCCCTCTGCTGGGACCATACCCTAAGAATCGTGAATCACCAATTCAAATAACCTGTGTAACACAATGTTCACAGTGGGGTTATTTACAATAGCCAAATGCTAGAAAGGGCCTAAGTGCCCATCAGTAAATGAGTAGATCAAAAAACTGTGGTACATTTACACAATGGAATGTTACCCAGCAGAAAGAAAGAAGGAGCTCCTACCATTTGCACAGCATGGATGGAAGTGGAGAGCATTATGCTAAGTGAAATAAAACAGGAGGTGAATGACTAACACCATATGATCTCAGCTGTAAGTGCAAGCTAATCAACACAGAAAACAAAAGAGAAAATAGAATCAGAGACATGGACATAAGGAAGAAAGTGACAGTGACCAGAGGGGTGGGGGAGGGGTATAACAGGGGGAATAAGGGTAGAGGAAAAGCAAAAAAACAGGAATAGAGGACTCATGGGCATAGAAAATAAGGGGGTGGGGTTGACTGTGGGAGTTGGGGGGTTGGGTTGAGCAAGGCGGGGGAACTATAACTGAGCAACAGTAAATTTTTTAAAAAGTATTAAAACCAGATCTTAGAACTAAGTAAGGCTTAAAATATTCAGATTGCCTTATAAGAAATTACTGATGGCCAGAGGAAGGGGGGGCTGGTTGGCATTGGGCAAAGGGGGAGATGGGGACATCTGTAATAGTATCACCAATAAAAATGAAAATAAAAATAAATGTAAAAAAATAAATTATTAGGATGTGTCTGTGCACTGCATGTGGAGTGCTACAGCACGCCAGAGTGCTCTTAGAACGCGTCCATTCCCAGGATGCATTTCAATTATCGCTGAGACAGAAGAGTCACACGTTCTCGCCTCATGCAGAACCAAGGTCCCTAAATGAGGGGACGGACATGCTAATGACCATGACGTGGTGGTCACATCTTCCCGTGTGCACGTGTCAATATAACAAGCTTCCACATGTGCCATTTCCATTAACACTGAACACAGAAAAACAAGTTTGAAAGAATAACAATATTGGCAGACAAAAATGGAAAACAAACACTACAGAAAATGTACAGAATTAAAAGGTGGTTCTTGGGAGAAATTTAATAAAATGAAGAAATGCACAGTAGGAACACAGAAGAGAGTTCCAGCCCCGCACGGTGAAGAAACTGAACCAACCCTGTGAAAACAACCCTGTGAGCTGTGCACACGCGCCCAGCACCTGGCTCTGACTGCTGAGAGAGAAGGAGAATGCTGTGGGCTCTCTTCTCACAGTGGCCTTTCATTGGGGCGGGGGTGCAAATTCTCCGGATTACAACAAGGAAGAAAACACTCAAGCCGAAGACATCAGTCACACTGAACAGAAGGACAAACCCGGCGTTCTCAAACAGGCTGACATCACTGAACTTGGAGTGTAGAGAACCCAGTGGGAAGAGCTACAGAGGGAGAGAGCCCCACACACCTGCAGGCTGAACACATCACGCCTCAGAGCAGGGCAGAGCCCCGCCACAATGGGCAGGGAGTAACCCCTCCAGGAAGAACCAGCAGGAAACCATCAGTTCAAAGATTCCCAGGGCACCCTCCTCAACACTGGGAGATTTTCACATTGGATCAGTCAAATTGGAAAGACATCTTTAAACACTACTCATTTAAGCCCTGGCTGGCGTAGTTCAGTGGATTGAGCTCGGGCTGCGAACCAAAGTTTCACAGGTTCGATTCCCAGTTAGGGCACATGCCTAGGTTGTAGGCCACGGCCCCCAGCAACCACACATTGAAGTTTCTCTCTCTCTCTCTCTCTCTTTCTCCCTCCCTTCCCTCTCTAAAATAAATAAATAAAATCTTTAAAAAATAAATAAAAACTACTCATTTATAAGAGTGGCCAGAAGAGGCCTTCTTCATCCACATTCCCAATGAACTGGTCCTAGTGGGCAGGGTGCCAAACCAGCTTTATCAGTTTAGAAACGAGCCTTGAGTGGGTCAAGTCAACCTGAACAACAGAACCAAGTACAAAACCACTGAGCCTGGAGGTCTCGGACCCCAAACCTCCACCAGGTGCAGGACTGGGGAGGCGCTAACTCAGGGAGAGGAAGCTGTTGCTCCCAGGCCCTTCCATGCACCCAGTCCTGGGTCTCTGTGCCCCTGGGGCGGGGGGGGACCTGTCTGCCAGAGTCCGGACTCTCACCAAGCTGCCCTCATCCAGTGTCATGGCCAAAATCCATGCCATTGTGGGGAGACAATAGGAACAGCTAACATGCCATCCTGCTCTCCACTCTGTATTTAATTAGATGTTTCCTCTCTGAGGTCTTTGGGTGGTTTTCTAAATTAATGTCTACTAACAGGTGTCTTTATCATGCTATTGATATGTCAAGAAACTGGCATTTCCACTTATACACACTTGAAAAAGTAAAACCAAGAAAGTCCTTTGGCAAAATAAGAAGCTGATAAAAACATTCTTCCACAGTAATTACAGGTAAGTCTTAGAAGATCAAAAACAGCTTGGATGTCAGGCCCATTTTCTTACCGACACGGATGCATTTGGGAGGAGGGGACCAGCCATTCTCCGTACACGTCAATGTGGTCTGCTGGTTTGGGAGACTGTAACCAGGATCGCAGGTGACTTTAGCAGACTGACCCTGTAAATACTTTTGTCCATACCTCGGATATTTTCCATTCTCCAAATAATTGAAAATACATTTTCCTAAGAGTGATAGAAGGATAATGAAAAAACCCCACCAATTTGGTCAAAATAATAAGTTAAAATTTATCCTCATATTTAAATTAGAAGGCATAGCATCTAAAAATAACATCTAGAATAAGAAATACTAAAGCTGCTACCAAATATTTTTTAAAATATAATATTAAATATAATTATCTGCAGTTTACTATTATAATATGTACAAATGATATAGGTATACTTGCAGAGTCTATTTTTATCTCTCATGTATTGAATGAAGAACCTCTCATAAAACAAACAACCTGCATGGGTCTTCCTGGTGACAGAACTCAGCCCCTCCCCCTTATGCTGGTCACACAGCTCCATCGTTCTCCCTGGTGTGATTCCCCTCCTCTCCGAAGTGTCCCCACGGCACAGGGAGGAAAGGGTTTACTTACGGAGGCAGGGAATGTCAGGCGACCATCCGTCTGTTGTACAAGTAATTATGTCCCAGTCGTCCCGTGTAGGCGGCGCATAGTTGCCATCACAGTAGTAGTAAAAATATTGTCCCACAGCAGCTGGGAAGTATCGTTCAGATCTGCTTCCCCAGGATAGGTACCCATGCTTTATTTCTGGATATTCACATGGCTTAACTTGCAATAAAAACAAACAAAAAAACAACATAAATTATGTTTTCCTTTAATTGAATTTACTGAGAGATAAATGGTTTCCTTGATGAATTATATTATTAACATAATTATATCCATTGCATTAGGGTTTCTAGCACAAGAAAGGTTGTAAACTCAGATGATGTAAAGAACACGTGTTTCTGGTCATTTCACGACATGTGCACACTCGGAGTCCGTCTGTGGTGCACCTGCAACAACACAGAGCTGCCTGTCAGTTCTGTCTAGGTGAGCACACAGACACCATCCTCGTGGTGTTCACGCTCACTGAGGTCTGTGTCACTGTGATGCCAGCATCCTCTCTAAGGGCATCACACTGTCACATTCATGTGGACATTTGTCCTGAACTGACACTGAGGCCATTGACCTCCTGTTAGCATCATTTCATGTTTCACTCATGGAGTGTCCAGCTGCAGCGTGGATGCCTCTACAGGGACCTGATACGTGAGCAAGAGGAACATGAAGGTGGAGGAAGAAAGCTCTTGGAAGGAGGCCAAAGAAACCTCCCAGAAATAAATGCCCTGCTGAACTGAGTGGCACTTTGTGACATGTGATGGTGTCAGAAAACCAACTATGTCTCTAACACTCCTCCCTGAGAGAAGGAGCCCACTGCCCCCACCTTTGAGTGTGGGTGGACTTAAGGACCCTCTTCTAAAGGGTATAAACAGCTCGGGTGACAATGTGTGAGCAGGTCATAGACTGCATGGAGGTATTCTTGTGTCTCAGATCACTTGCTCTGGGGACATTAGTGCCACTGAGGGTCCCTATGGAGACACCAGGTGTTAAGCCCCTGAGGCCCCTGCGCCACCAGGGAGGTGCCCACTTGGGAGCAGGTCCAGCTGCACCCAGACCTCAGCCCACACTCTGGGCCAGTGTCCCGGTGCCGCCCAGACAGTGAGAACTGGGGGACTGGACCTCTCCCCAGTGCTGACCCTGTGACCCTGAGTCAAGAGAGGGTGGTTGTTCTCAGTCAGTAATATTTGGGGTAAATTGGTTACACAGCAATAAATTACTAACATACTCGATGGTGAATGGTAGCATTCTTACCCAATGTTTTAATTCCCATATTAGAATATTAGTGAGAGAAACGCATATTCGTACCCACACATATTTAACCCTGAGTACCAAAGATTAGAAGGGTTTCATTAAAAAATATGTCATTTTGAACTTCATTTGAAGTGTTTACATTGAAAAGCCAAGCATGCCTCTGCATGCCCTGCTTTACACTCTCAGTAAGGCAAGCCGGGGGCCCATTCGGTCCCCATTGCACTGGTGTTCACCAGAAGTCAGTGCGGAATTAGGATCCGGTCCCGGTGTGCTCGGAACTTACAGCTGCACCTTGGAGGAGGATGCCAGCCGATATCGGTGCATTCTGACGTGCTGCCTCGGGCTGAGTGATAAAAGCCGCTTTTACACTGGTACGTGAGTCTATGCCCAAGTCTGTATGAGGTCCTGTCGGGAATGTAGTGGCTGTTGGCAATAGTTGGAGGATCACATGTCACTTCTGAAAAGAAAAAGGACAGGTGGCTAATGCAGAAATCGCTGTCGAGGAAAAGTCAAGTCCATGAGAATAGAGTGAATGTCATTTGTTTTGCCCTTATCATAGAGCAAAACGGCATTAAAGTGAGTACAGACCCGGACCTCCCCCACATCGCTCACCCCCCCTCACCTGCTCACCTCAAGTGTTTGTGCCCCTGCGCTCTTCGATCCTCTTCCCCCAAGGCCATCGCGTCCATGGTGCTGTTCTGTGCGTGGCCATGAACTCATAATACACGACACTTCACCTACACTTTCCTCTTCCCCAAACCTCCTTGGCTTCCGAAGTTCTGATAAGAACTGTGCACAAATATCCTGAGTCTCTTCCTTGATTTGAATGCAGCCGTGAAATGGATGTGGCAGTGATATGTTTCCTTCTAGGAAGGATGCTTTCAAAGCCTTTGGGTGAACTTTTGCCTGCTCTTCCCCACAGCAGCAGTGATTACAGAAGGGCAAGGAAAGACTGGGTCTCTATCTCCTGATTCTTACAATTAATAGCGCAAGCAGAGTCCCTTTCCGCCTTACATGGGAAGCCAGCATGGTGAGGAAATGAAGTTTACTTTGTTAGGCTGGTGGAATCTGGGAGTATAGTTTTCTCACTGTAACAGGATAACCTAGTCCAGGGTTTGGGAGACCTTTCACATGAAGGGCCAGGTGAAAGTCTCTGCTGGCCGGTCCGCTCTGCCTTTGGACTGCAGAAGCTGCCACAAACTGCCGTGAGCAGATGCACGTGGCTGTGTTGTACGGAAACTTGGTTTACGAAATGGGGACAGGCGGGATCAGACCTGGGATTTATCTCCCTTGACCTAGTCTACCCTAACTGACGAAGCTGCTTCCCTTGGTCCTTCTCATCAACCTTTTGCTATATTGCAACAATAGATCAACTTGCAATATCCCTTTTGTGATAGACTGCTATGCCTTTTTTCTTCAATTCAATTAATTTAGTTTTCCAGCTCTATGGGGGAACAATTGACAAGTATCATTGTACGTACTGACAGCGTAGGACATGATTTCATATAAATATGCACTGAGGAATGCTGACCAACATCGAGACAATTAATCAGTGGCTTTTAACTGCTGTAGAAAGGCTATATTACCGTTCACATTGCTGCCATGTTCCATTTCGGACGCAAAGCCTGCGGTGGGCATTCAGTACTGCCTGAACCCAGTTATATGACCCTAACTTACTTCTTATTCTCTTTCCCACGGTAAGTGACCGATAGTCTCCTCATTTCACTCAAGTCCCCTACACAGTTGCTCTTTCATTGCTACTTGGTGAGGCTTGCCTTCCCAGAAAGCTTCCCGACGACCAGCTACAGGTCCCCTAGAGCTCCTGAAAGTTTCTTTAACATTAGCTGCGTCTGTTCTGAACTTAAGCCTTTTCCTATTTTCATATTCAAGCAAGCTTCTGAAAACTTTTATTTTCCCACAGGTCACAAACCGTTGCTTATCCCTCCACCTCTCTGACTCTGTCAGCCACTTCCTCTTGGATGGGTGCTCAGGCTTCCGCAGTTTTAAACTCCTTCTTTCCGCCCTTTGCCCAAGTTGAGCTAATGTGTGATCTTTCTCCTCTGCTTCACAACCAAGATCCTTCAAGTGCCCTTTTACAATTGCTGCCTCCACTTTGTTCAACCTCCCATTTGTTTTGCAGCCCACAGCCCTGTGGCTTCTGGCATCTCCCCTGAGCTGGCCCTGCTCTGACAGAAGTCACCAAAGGCCTCCACTTCCCAGATCTGCCAACTCTTGTACTCCACATATTGCAGAGACTGGTGTAGAATGTGGGCTCCTTAATTATTTGTTGCACTGAATAGATAAAAACCCTTTGCAGCCCTGGCTGGTGTAGCTCAGTGGATTGAGCGCAGGCTGTGAACCAAAGCATCACAGGTTCGATTCCCAGTCACGGCACATGCCTGGGTTGTGGGCCACGGCCCCCAGCAACTGCACATTGATGTCTTTCTCTCTCTCTTTCTCCCTCCCTTCCCTCTCTAAAAATAAATAAATTTTAAAAAATTAAAAAAAACCCTTTGCAGAACTTCACACGGCTCATCACCGGCTTCTCAACGTTCTCCAGTGCCTTGCTTTCTTCCATCGTCCTAGCTCTTGTTATCTTGGCATGAACAGCTGCATTTTGTTTAATTTAGTCTACTTAAGTTAGTCCACTTATAGCTGCCCCTCCTCCTCTGCTCTCCCGAATTCTGGGTCCTGCCTTCTCAGGTCCCTTCTCCTTCCACCTTCCTCCCTGCGCTCCAAGCTGCCAACACAATGGCCTGCCAGGTCTTCACTCAGCCACGCTTAGTCCTGCCACGTCTGCTGTCATGCCCTGTGTGTTCCCTCAACGGTTCTCCACTGGGTCCTCCCACTGGTCCTCATCACGGCCCAGAAGCATCATCTGTAAAGACCCTATAGATGTGTGCGAACACATAGTTATGGTTCTACCTGAGTATTTACCCTGGACTTTGTTGGCTTTCTCTTCATATTCTCTGTGTGATTCAAGACACTTCCACGATCAAAAGCTACTACCATTTATGCTAATGCTAACAACTTCTCCCACGAGACTCTAATCCGTATTTCCAGCTGCAGCTTCACACCAGACAGGTTCATGCATATAACCAAAGGCATATCCAACCTATTACGTGTCCAACTAAAATCATCATTCTTCTTTCCGTATTTTAATTTGTGACACAGGACCCCATGACAGAAGCCTGAAGTGGACCCCCAGTTTCTGTCTCCCATCAACTCCAATAGTTAGTCAGACACTAAAGGTGTAAATATTGCTTATATATCTCCCCTCTCCATGCCGTACTTCTGCTGTGTGCCCTCAGCTCCTACGGTTATTGTAGTAGTCTTTCTATTGGACCTAAATTTATACTCCATTCCACCAGAGTAAGCTTTATGTCCCTGTTGCTAACATGGCATAATTAGTTGAGGTACTTACATACATTAGCAATGATCGTATTAAAAATAATAGAAAACATATATGACCACCTAAACACTAGTGTTAAGTAAAATATGTCTTCAGTGTTGGATGTTGACACTATCCTCAAATGAAGCTTAAATATGTTAACTTTTTCTCTCACTTGAATGTGCTAGGTCCTTCGTGTTTTCACATTCCCACTGCAGCCCAGTCGATATGTCTTAGTTTTCACTTCCTGATATGGCTAAACTTAACACCAAGGCTTGCAGTCAAAAGCTACGATATTAAAAAATAAATCACAGTGTCACTAAGAGCAAAACAAAATAAGATTGGGAGAATTTTGTTGAGTTAATTAAGAATAGAAGAACTTTTGGTGATTGCTTTCAAGCAGTGGGCATATATCCCTTAAAAATTTTTAATTCTCTACTCTTATAATCTCCACTAAAATAAATGGTGCTATGAAAACATCACCAGGGCAGGTGCCTCTCTCCAAAATACTAATATCTGAGACTGTCCAAATGTGTGAGGTCGCACGTTTCTGCTGTTAGAAACAGTCATTAAGATTTGAAATAATAATAATTCAATATTGGCAGCCTCTGCTGTCAGTCAGTAGAAAATCCAGTTTGCATAGGAGTGGAAGAGTTTGGATCGAGAGTGCTTTCTATTTAGCAGGTCTTGGTACTTTTAATTATTCTTGTCCATGAGTTGCTGTCAGAGACTGTCCCCTACTGGGGACAGAGACTGAAGCTTTGATAAATTTCCCCCAAATAAACCCCCTGACACATACAAATCACAAACCGGATGAAAGAAAATTCAAGGGGTTTATGCTATATTATTTTACCTCAAAATTTCTGGTGTTATCTAGTTTCAAATGTCTTAGAGATTTAAGGCAAATCTATGTACTTTTGGAGTTCTTCCTTGTCAGCAGATACCTTTGCACGTAGCAGGAAAAGGAGGAGTGTTGGTGGCGGAGAGTTAGCCAAGGCACAGAGTGCAGGGCGTGAAAACAGTGGACGGAGCCCACGGCAGAGGATGCCGACAGGAAGCATGACGTTACCTCTGCAGAAGGGGCGCGGCACCCACCCAGACTGGGTGCACACGGCCTCCGCTCTTTCGCCGTAGCTGTAGCCCGGGTAGCATTTGTACTGAAGCCTTTCATTCTCCCTGTACGTGGTCTTCGGGGATGCCGGCTCTCCGTTCGGAATTTCTGGTCTTTGGCAGGAAATTCCTAAATAGAAGGGATTACATTCCAAAACGTTTGTGATATATTTTAAAGGGGCTGTGTCCAAGACATGGTTACACGAAGACATAAATTCTGTTTCCAGTCAGTAGGGCAGGCAACCAAATAAAAGTTCTGTGTTGACTTGAATGCTTGCTGAACTTACCTGTTCCTCTTAATGTTCGTTTCTGAAAGACGTTAAAATTCTGATTACAGTTATGTTGCTAATTTTATTTGGTCTGAGGATAAGTTAGTTTTGTTGAAATAAATAGTGGCAATCACACTCATCATATGAAATTGATGCATATAAAATTGAATATAGCTATGAAGTTATTCTGATAAGCATTGCCACTGAGTAACCAGCAAAACCACATATTTCCCAGTTACCCATTATAGAGTAATTATTGACAGAACTATTAACTATGGATTTTGACAAATAAATTAATTGATCTCATTGTCATTATAGCTCCAAAAAGTTACTGACCTTCCACTTGGGTGGTTTCGCCATCCACCTCCTCGCAAATACTTTTCCCCTGGCATTATGGCCACAAGAACTAATTCCCCAGTTTCTATTCTCTCACCTTCACAACTGCTTTTCCCTAATGACCCTTTTTTTTCTTGTCACTTCATTGATTCACTTAAAATCCTTCAATGATTCTCAATTCAGCCTGAAAGTCCGATTGATTCTTCAGCACAGTGTAGAATTCTTCAGCAGCTCAGAACCTTGTGCCAGCCCATCTTCTTTGGTCCCACAGTGTTATTCCCTGCTTGTGTCTTTCACCCGGGCCTGGGGGCAATGGGGGACCAGGAAGCTTCGTTCTGCTGGGTACATTTGGCCACTTCTTCTGCATGAGCTTCTCTCGACTGGTACGGGTTTCCCCCCTTAACTTCCTCACCAAGTTCCTGTTCTCCCTTTGAGACTTACAAGAGGCATTAATCATCCCAGGCAGGGCTCACTGACCATGGAAATTTACTCGTGAGAAGTGCACCCCCTCCATAAGCCTCTAGAGTACACAGTATTTGCTACACTGAAGAGAAATATTTATCATTTCTGACTTGAAGAATTAGTTTTGTTAGAAAAGGTTTTTGGGAAGAGGCATGTTTTCCTCTGCATCTGTATGTAGGATAGACTAAACTAAGAAAGTATAAACCATTTGGAGATTTTAGATAATGTTAGCATATAAATATGGCAAAAATTTCCGCCAGAGAAATGTTGGTAGAACAAAAGTATGAGACTTCAAATCAATTGACCAAAATGTTTCTTGATGAAAGCCAAAATCATCCTAGTGGTCATGATGTGTGGGTCAGTAGTTTATAATGAAATTTGTCAATTGCAATTGACATGCAATATTAGATTAGTTTTATGCACACAACATAGTGATTTGACATTTCTCTAATACGAAGTGTTCACCCTGTTAAGTCCAGCACCCACCTGGCGCCTTACATGTATGACAATTTACTGGCTTATACTCTCTGTGCTGTACCTTAAAGAATCCTTGTCTGAAAGTTTACTCTAGAACTCGATTTTAAAGGCAAAGGAATATTTAACGGATTCCATTCAGTTCGGCAATATTTATAACAGGCACAGCCCAAATAAAAAAATAGCCACTTCTTAGAAGGGTTATTTCAAAACAATGTCATCATGACGCATCACTGGAAATAAATAATAAATCTTTGGCTTTCCAGTGTCAGGAAAGCCAGTTCTGTAGGCCAATATCAGAACTTGTAGCAGAAAGGCTTACCACTCTTTTAAGCCGTAAGAGCCAAGTACAATTTAATCAGGGATAGGAGCGTAGACTTCAGTGTTAGATCACCTGGGTTTGGATATTAGCTCGACTCTACGTGCAGGGCAGCCGTGCAGGTGAGATTTAACTTCCCGATGCCGCAGTTCCCTCAATAAGACAGAGGTGGCAGTGGCGCATGGGGCATGGGGATCACTCTGACTGTGCAAGGAAATGACACATACAAGGAACTCAGAGGAATGCCTAGGAAGTAGGAAGTGTTCAATAAATGCTACTTATTAGCAGCATCGTTTAGATTCGTTAGGAGGCATGGTGGTTTGAAATGTATATTTTCATGAGGAAACCCCAAATCATTCACATAATCAAATGAACAGCAGGTGTAGCTTACCCACGCAACCTGGTTTTTCTCCACTCCAAAGACCATTTTCTGAGCAATGTATTTCTTTAGGGCCAGAAAGCATGAAGCCTGGATTACATTCAAACTTGATCACCTGTCCAAAAGAGTATTCCTCGTCTGGGTTGAACGCACCACTGACAACTCTCCCATTCTCTGGGGCTGCCACTGGCAAACACTTAACGACTGAAAAAATAAATAGAACATTTTATAATAGAAGTTAGAAACTTTATCATGAAAAATATGCATAGATACATATATAATTATAAGGTCAGCAAGATAAGATTGGACGAAATAAATGTGGGTTGTATGTATTTTTGTTTGTTTGTTTTTAAAGCATTCAACATGCCTGTTTGCTGGAGATCAAGCCTGCTAAGGAAAAAATAAATATTGAATTTATCTTTGCAACTTTTCTATGGAAATGGGCAAAGAAAACTACCACTCTGACTACTGACAAGTGCTTCTTAAATAATTGAGAAATGGGAGACTGAAATACAAAATTTCCACTTCAGTCTCACACTCATTAACACTATATTCCTAAAGGTGTAACAGCAAACTTTTTTTTACTGTATTTACTTCAATAGGGAAGTAGGTTTAAAATTCCCTTCGACTTCCACGTCAGCGTTCAAAATAATTTGGGTGCTTCTTTAGATGTTACGGAATATTTCCCACTACCTCTTAGGTTATGGCGTTGAAGCTTCACTGCACAGGGAGGTGACCCGGGACGCTTGTTAAAATGGACGGGTGATGGCTATGTCCCTGCCCATCGCTCCACGGATGTCCCTTCAGGACGTCTTTAGCAACCCAAAAGTTCGGGTTTTGACTCGCGCCCCAGGTGGTTTCCCACGCAGATGCTCTCTAGAGCACGGGTCTCCGCTATTTTGCGTGACCACACTTCTCTGCTCCTTCCTCCCTTTTCTCTCCCCCTCCCCCTCCCCCTTCCCTCTGCATCTCTCTCTCTCCACTCCTCACCACGGGACAGGGAAACCCTGTTCTGGCTGGTCCCGTTCATCTCCACCGTGAGCAGGTGTTGGGATTACTAGCTCAGATTCTGGCAACGACAGGATCGGCACCTTCCCGTTCTTACTGTCTGCTTTCTGGGTCAGGGGGAGAGGGCAGAGCCCTCTCTTACTCCCCTTGTCTTCCCAGAGGGACTTGAGTCCCCAGGAGGGAACCCTCCCTGGGCAGGTGGGAAGGGTGAGAGGCCTCAGGCCGGCTCTCCACTCCAGCTGCTGCGCCCGGGATCCTGCACGCGGGCGCTTTGGGGGTGAGGGCATCATTACTCAAGCTGAGATTCTGCTCTTCAGGTTAAAGGCCTGATATCTGGGTTCTTTCTAGAGCTTAGAACCCAAAAGGAAGGAAAAACAAGTTTCTTAGGTTTCCTAAGCTCTAATACTTTAAATATTAGATCAGATGAGACTGTATTCATATTTGGTTATTGAAACACAAAATAGTGCAGTAGTTAAAAGGTTGGCTATACACTCTATATACTATGTTTGAAACCATAAAAATAATTTGAGTAAGAAATATTGTTTTTGGTATTTAGGGTAGATGTACCCATTCCAGCAAATGTATTCGCAACAATCACGTGGGCAATGCTTTGTGATATAAATGTATTTTTTCAGTGTATACTTTCACTTTTAAAATGCCTGTTTTGTGCTTTACAATAAATGATATGAAACCCCCTGTGTCAAAAAAAAAGAGAAATATTTGATTACAGATGTTAAGGATGCTTTATTGTAAGACGCTGCAAACAATCTGAGGTGTTTTCAGGATTTTTATCTACCTTCACATAGAGGAACGTCGTTGGTCCATCCATCTGCTTCGCATTCCCGGAAATTAATCTCACCTATCATTTGGTACCTGAAAGCCAAAAGTAACAGGGCTGTGAGCGGATGTGTGTTTATGTGCGGCTTTAAATTTGATAACATTCTGCATGTCCGACCTCCATTTCAGGGAAAGTTAAGAGCATATACGTTTTCTTCTTTCTCTCTGTTTTTATCTCTTGCATGTCTTTTTTATCTGTCTTAATTTTTTTTTCTTTCTTAAGAAACACCCACAAATGCTCAGGGAGACAGCCTGGGAATAATCTTACTCCTTGGTCAATGGCACAGATTCACTGTTTCATGCACAAATTGCTGTTGGTTTTTCTCTGAGTCAGTTAATTCACTGCACCTAATGATGTAATAAGCTCCACGGGAGCTGTCACCCAAAAGAAAAACCATAAAGTGACAGTAACCAGCAGACAACCCGATGGTCCGCCTCCGTCAGCTTTCTCCTGCCCTCCAAGACGGTGACGTCTCCTGGTCACTTCGGGACTTTTACACAGTCAAGGACAGTGCCCGCGAAAACTCCTTAGTGTGGGACGTGTTTTCAGCACTTGTCCCCATCCCCATCCTTGACATTCTTTCTGGGGCGTGGCCGTGGAGCCCAGTCTGCTTACAGAACCCGTGCAACGTCGAATTTATCTAATTAGTGCGACTCGTCAAGCCTGCCCGTAAAATCTGAGGTTCTCTACGTGGAGGGAAGTTCCTTCAGGTGGCTGCAGATTGAGCCGTCGCGTCGACAGGTCTCGGATCCAGGCAAAGCCTCCTTCTCAAAATTACAGTGGACAGCTGTGAGCCCAACGCCGGTGTCCCCAGAATAAACAATGGGAAGGCACTTTGACAACCACAAGAGAGACAGTGCTGGAAAGGGCCTTTGAAAATCTTCTCAGTAATTCGACATAGACAAATGTTTCCTCCATCTGCAAATAAGGGTATACGGTTCTGCCCATTGCACAAGTAAAACAAATAAACTTGAGCCCTGGCTGGCGTAGCTCAGTGGATTGAGCTCGGGCTGCGAACTAAAGTGTCGCAGGTTCCATTCCCAGTCAGAGCACATGCCTGGGTTGCAGGCCATGACCCCCAGCAACCACACATTGATGTTTCTCTCTCTCTCTCTCTTTCTCCCTCCCTTCCCTCTCTAAAAATAAATAAATAAAATCTTAAAAAAACATGCAATAACTCTTGACTATTTAAAAAACAATAACAACAACAAAAAATAAATAAACTTCCTCAAAATATACTTTCTCCTTCTTTGATTCTTATTGGTCTGTTCCTAGTTCTCTCAGGGAAGGAAATACTTCAATGAATTAAATGCAAAGTACAGAACTTGCAGTCAAGCATCTGAGCCTCCGGAGGGAGCAAAGGCGTTGGTCATTGAAGGCTCTCTTCTGTTCTCTGCCCAGTGGAAGCAGGTTTCCTGGTGAACACTTTCCACCTACACCAGAGACCCATCCATTCCCCCAACGCTCCTTCAGCAATTGCACACAGCTCGACACAAAACTTTCCGGGGCCTGTATGCGTGGAGGGGAGGGAAAGAGAGAAAGACTGTCCCTGCGTGGGCTGGTGGGGTGGGGGATGGGCAAGGGCTCCTATTTCTGCAACCCCAGCCAGGCAAAACACCAGAACTTTTGCAGGGTGCTTCCTTAACACTTCCTACCTGTAAGATGGTGAAACGGGGGTAACCACACCCAATCTCCTCCTAAGTGGCTTGCATCAAGCTAAATAAGGATTCAGCAAAGAGTGGGTGAGGGCGACAAGGGGTCCGAGGTCAAGTTTACTGGCAGAAACCATGGGTGTGATACACCCCCCTGCCATTAGATATCATAACTGAGTCAAAAGGCTTACACGCCCTTACATAAGCCAAACAACATCTCAAGTAAAATTTAAAAACGGCATACAATACTTCCTTTTGTTGACCTTGCGTGACCCAAGAACTCCTTTTCGCTGACAAGTATCTGGTGCTGTGGGAGTCCCCCCCTGGGTGAGAAGACTGTTACTTTCCTGGGGCCTGTCACTGAGGAGGCCCCCCTGCTCACCCAGGAGGACGGGGGCGCAGGTGAGCGGGACAGAGCCAGCCGCGGAGGCAAGCAGGCCGCTGTCTCTCTGCCCGCTCTGAACCCTGCTGGGTGCTGAGCGCAGGGGCCTTGACGTCTGCGAGCGTTCACTCCTGTGGCCAGGCCGGAGCTGGGACCCGGACAGACCGAACGAGCCTGGACCGGAGGGGCACTTCGGAGGTGAAGAGTGGAGGCAGTGCGTGGGGGGGTGCAGCCCACGGGTCTTCTTCTGGGCATGCGTGGCACGGCCAGCGGCGATGACTGAAGGCTGAGCTGGAAACTAGCAGTGTCTTTGAGAAACGCTCTCGCGCAGTGAGCAAGGAGGGACTAAATCACGAGGTCTAACCCTTAGCGGGTGTCCTCGGAGTCCCCGGGACCTCAGGGCCTCCCCCGCCGACCCTATGGTGCGCCCAGTATGTTTCTGCCTTTATCAGTGAGGGGATGGGAGTGAAGTGGCATTTTGGAAAGTGCAACGGTTTATTGAGTGGTGCAGTTCTGGAATGCGGGTTTGCTCCAAAGCCGAAGCGTCAGGAAGTCCATGGGGAGAGAATAACAAGATGCCGTTTGTAGTCTCTTGACGCTATTTATATTGATGCGAGGACCCTGGTTTCCCCATGTGTGAAGCGTTCTTCGAAACCAGTTTTCGGCCCGGCTGATAACGGGGGAGAGTGGGGGCTGGGGAGGCGAGCCCGTGTGCAAACCCAGTGTGGGCCCGGAGTCAATGATGAGAAACACAGCGGCATTTGGGGGCCCACACGATAAGAATACTTTACAGACCGTGGGACCTTACAGAATAGTTATTATTTCAGTGTAAAAGTCTTGCTTCTCCCACATTTTATAAGATTTTACCAAAATAGGTAGCAGGTCACATAACTTTTCACCATTTCCTCTGTGCCGGACCCACGGCACCCCCAGAATATCCTCCTGCACATCACAGAATGCGCTGAGGACTCGTCGGCATGAACCGCTGTTTATACTCCTACTGTTTTCCCAGCCACCTCCCTGACAGAGTAATTACAATTCACTGTAATTTTTCAATGTTGAGGAGATAACATGGTATCCAGATATAATCATTTTCATTATTTAATTTTAATTTGGGGAGTTACGTGCATGCTACCTATAAAAAGGCTCACAGAAAAATATTCTCAGCTTAAAATATAAATTAGGACAGTTCTGATTTATCAGATCAGGGGTGAATTACCTCAATCACAGACATCGTTTTATATTGACTACTTACCCCTCATCGCACGTATACACCACCTTGGCCCCGTATTCAAATTTGTCTCCTGTTACAAGGTCGAATGAGCCAAAGGGCGTGTCTCCGGGGTGTCCACAGGGCTTTTCTGGAACAAAGAAAAGGCTACGATAGCAGCACGTCGCGCAGGAAACGCATTGTACATGGAGAGGTCGGGGCGAGGATGTTTGATATTATGTTCGAGGACAGAATTGAAGCCATGGAAAATCGAAAAATGGCAAAGTCATTATTTGAGAATTGAACTTATCTGTAGGTTTCGTTTTTGAGTTTTGGAGGATTACCACTCCCTTTTTAAAAATAAGTGCTAGTGTTGTGTTTTGTATTGAAATGGTAACTCTGATATAATTCATCTCATATTGCTATAGGAGTAAACATTCAGTATTTTGGCAACTAAAAGTTTTTGTAAATTAAAAAAAAAGCATTGTTGGGACTATATCCTAAGGATCCTGAAACACCAATCCAAAAGAACCTATGCATCCCAATGTTCGTAGTAGCACAATTTACAATAGCCAAGTGCTGGAAGCAACCCAGGTGCCCGTCAGTAAATGAGTGGATCAAAAAACTGTGGTACATTTACACGATGGAATTCTATGCAGCAGAGAGAAAGAAGGAGCTCCGACCCTTTGCAACAGCGTGGATGGAGCTGGAGAGCATTATGCTAAGTGAAATAGGCCAGGCAGTGAGGGACAAATACATTATGATCTCACCTTTAACTGGAACATAATCAACAAAAGAAAAAAGTGAGCAACATATAACCAGAGACATTGAAATTAAGAACAACCTAACAATAGCCAGGGGGGAGGGGAAAGGGGACAGAATGGGGAGAAGGGTTTTCAGGAACTACTATAAAGGACACATGGACCAAACCAAGGGGCAGGGTGGAAGCAAGGGAGGGAGGGGGGTTTGGCTAGGGTGGGGGGGAGTGGTGGGGCAAAAATGCAGACAACTGTAATTGAGCAACAATAAAATACAAAATAATACAAATAAAGAATAAAAAAGCATGGATCACTCACTCTGGCATATTTTTGCTGGGTTGAGGTCCACCCATTGCCCTTCCCTGCACTGCACTGTAATCACGCCGTATGTCCTGAACCCAGGCCGGCACTTGTATGTGGCCTTAGTGCCCTCTTCATAGCTCTGTTCAGACCAGGAGCCCTGCAGAATTTCCCTCTCTTTCTTCGGAGGAGGTGTCACACAGTCTGCAGACGATGGAAGCAGAACGAGGGCTTCAAGTAATTGTTTACGCTCAGGTTATTTTTGCTTTGAAAAATATCTACATGGTTAGAGGTCCAGCCAGATCTTACATGCATATAGACTTACACAAATGGAATCTGCATAAATTTGTAAGAACAGTTCTGGAGTAGAATGGTACTTTACTATATTGTTTTAACTGATGCATTGCAGTTGGAAAGTATTTGCTGGGCACTAATCTAAGCTGTGAAGAAAAAACAATGAATAAGAAGAGACAATGTGTCTGCTCTAGTAAGGAAGTGAGTTATTAAACAAGTAGTCAGAGAGATGCAGATAGATGAATTTTCTTTAAAAATATAAAGCATGTGTGAGATGACACAAAAATATATGGAAACATTTCAAGTAAGATAGAACAGGATGGAACAGGGCCATCAATTTTGGTAAGAGTGATAAAATTCTGGCAAAACTGATCGTGATATAAAAAAGAAAGCACCAATAACCATGACGTCGAATCAGAAAGGGATTCCTTTAGAAATCTTGTAAACATCAAAAAGATTTTAACAGCCGTGGCTGGTGTGGCTCAGTGGATTGAGGGTCGGCCTGTGAACCAAAGGGTTACAGGTTTGATTCCCAGGCAGGGTACAGGCCTGGGTTGTGGGCCAGGTCCCCAGTAGGGGGCGTGTGAGAGGCGACCACACATTGATGTTTCACTCCCTCTCTCTCTCCTTCTCTCCCCCTTCTCTAAAAATCTCACAATAAAAATATTTTAACAGAATACTGATGAAATAGATGAATTCCTAGAAAAAAAATGACTTAAAACTGACTCAAAGGGATTCTAACACCTCAAGAGTTCTAGAACCAAAAAGTAGAAAGAAAACTCCAGCACCCATTTATAGAACTGGTTGCATTTATCCGCTTTTATAAAGCATACAAGGAGAAATAACCTAGTTATTAAAACTTGACAAGGGTAGTTGAAAAAATAAAAGAAGATAATGATAGTAAAGGACTTGAACCTGCATTTTACCAAAGAGAAGAAACCCAAGAGGTCCATAAACGTATGAAAAATTGCTCCCGCTGAAAATTAAAACCATAACATGACTGGTGAATATTTGAGAAGTCTCAAAGTAATCCGACCGCTTGGAAAGAACGTGGGCCCCAGGGCTAGAGGGCGGGGAGGGAAACCGGCGTCGCTGACGCAGAGAAGGGCCCGGCGGCTCCGAGCGCAGCTGTTCATCCCTGGGGGGTTCCATCTCTCGGAGGGCATCCTCACGCGCCATGGAACCGATTTCAAGCCTGGGAACGCATAGCCACGTGATTTTCTTAACAATCAAAAATGGAGACAGCTCCCACGTCCATCAGCAGTCGGGCGCATAGAAATGTGCGGCACACACGTGTCATAGAGTGATACACCGGTACGACAAAACGACGTGGAAAGAAAAAAAAACAATGATCACATGAAGAGACAGAAAGGTACAACAACTACTACAGGGTTATTTAATCTCCATGAAATTCAAGAACAGACATATATATCAGGAATGAGTACATAAGCTCTGAAACTATTACAGAAGAGCAAAAGTGTGATTACCATTAAGTAGTAAGATAACGTTTTCTTCCAGGAGGACGGTAGGGGCATTAATCTAAAGGAAACCTACAGGTTATGTGGAACATTCTACTTCTTGACTGGATGCCTATACTGAATTCTACGACAGTACAATTGTATTTTATTTATGCATGCAATATATTTTACAATGAACATTGACTTAGCAGAATCTGCATGTACAGCATGATTCTTATTTTGCAAAAATTAGTTAACTAAATGATATATAAAGAGAACACAGAAAATTAACAAAGAAGCTCATGCCCACTACGATTATTGTCCATATTTTAAATATTTCCTACTACTTAATTTACATATAACTACTCCTGGTGTTAGAATGATTACATTAGTAAACCCCCAACACATTACTTTAAAAAATGGCGCATATAAAGACACACAGTTATCAGCACACATATTTATTGGTATTTTTTTCATTCCTAGACTCCTTTCCTGACTTGGTTGCAAAACCACAGCTTAACTTCCTATTCTAGAATTTTTTTTTTTAAAGGCAAGGGAGAAATACAATCCACTGAGCTGGGTCTCATCACAGAACATGTGCATCATTAAAACATTTTGCAACATTTCATAGAAGAGAAAGCTCCATGTGAAACTACATTTTAATGCAATAAATACTATTTGTGTAGGATTCCATAGGCACTAATTTTCCTCTGAAGTTTTTGCATGTTTTTAGCATATTTATGTCAGGGAACTTGGTAATAAATGATTCCAAAGCCCAGTTTTGATTTTTACAAGTTAAGTAAATATACTTTCTGCCACTAGATGGTGGTCATACCCTGCCACAAAACCACACACACAGCCCGCCCCCTCTGGCCTGCCAAAGCAAGTTTTTCTTTTCTTTTTTGCAACTTTAATGTTCCTGTTGGTTTTTAGATGAAAATTTTCTGTTTAATTACAGGCTCATGAGAGTGTTTTTCACTTTCAATATTCAGACCCGCTTCATGGCATTCAGATTATTAGTGAAATAAGTAAGTTAAATTTCAAATGTAGATGCCAATATTGTGAGTAGAGAACAATTTTCCACGAACATAGTAAGATTTTGATAAATCTTGGTTCCCATTCTGTTCCTAAGCTAATGCAAGGAAAAGGCAATACAGTTTTTTATCACTTCATTTCTGTGATTTAAATTATCGTCACTAATACAGTAATCTTACTAAAAGAGGAACCCAGACACTGAAACGTTCAGCCCACGTGCTGGCCCGAGGTGACATGTCTTCCTGCTGGTTATTCCCAGACTTAACCTCTAATTCTTGACTTTTACAATTTAGTTCATTGTTCTTAACAACCAGAGATAGGAGACAAAGACACATATCTCCCATAATCCTCCCTTCAGCTTTTTTTTTTCAGTGTTTACCCTGTGTTCTAGAGTCAACATTGACTCCTGTTCCCTATCGGTCCAGAGCTCCCAAGTTCATTACTCCTTTCACTTCCAATAGTACTCGAAGCTCTGTGCTTCTCTCATGGCCTTTCAATGGCATCTCTTGACCCTGTAAGAAAAGATATGTCACCTCTGCTCTGTCTGTGATCTTTCCACGGTCTCGGCGCTGATGACCCTCATCCGTCACCTTCGTGGTGGGACACTCTCACCACCGACTTCTGATGGTTGGCTTTGTCTCATCCTTGGCTGTCTTTAAATATGATTTTTTTTCACAACATAGCTCATGATTCATACTTATTTTTATGTTTGCTAGAATTTCACCCATTCTCCCATCCACACGTAGATTCCCTGAGGATAAGGACCCCTCTGCCCTGTTTTTTATAGTGGAGAGATTTTTCACTAATATTCAACTCTCCTAATATCAAACGCACCTCCTGTCTGCTTCTGGTCTACTCTTTAATACTTTGAGTATTATCAACTCATGTCATGCCAAAATATTTACAGAATGATTCACTAAATTGTGTTATAACAATAATTAAACCTATCTTATGACACGTCTTTTATTGGCCTGCATTGACAAATAGCTAACTGTTCAAGCTCATTCTCAAAAAGTTTCAATTAGAAAAAGAGTTATGGGCACCTATGCACACTAACCACATTCACTTGAATTAAATGAAAGGAAACTATTTTCAAAAGTACGGAAGCATTTTTTGAGGTAGGATTAATCTGAAAGCTATTATTATTATTTTTGAATAGCCATCACATTTCTCAAGTTCTAAGTTAATGAGTAAACTAAGCTTTCTTAGGTCTAAGTATTTACTTGGATTTAAACAATGAGTACTTCACCTTGTGTTTACACAGTCCATTAAATGCTAATTCATTTCTTTCTTTGTAAAACACTACCTGGGTGAACTGTTTATTCACTTGGTCTGACTTTCTAATTTAAAGTTATTCAGTCTATAAATAAAGAGTATGAATAGATTTGGCTATTAGACTAGAATAGAATTCATTTTACTTTAATTTGAAATATAAAATATAAATATTTTTTTTATATTTTTAATATTATTATTTTTATAAATAACATAAAATTTTGGTCAAAGTTAAGAAACAAATATATGATGTTTTAATCAGTATTTACCTAATTTTTTACTTTCAAATTTTAAAGGGGTATTATTGACATGCAAACACAGAGGTAATTACTTGTTTTCAATGTCTATATGTATATATATAAACTATTGTTTGAAAAGTATCCTTAATCAAATTACATAAATCATAATAAAGTTATACACTTGAGAAAACCTAATCAAATTTGTACCACATTGCTTTGGTAAACTAAAGTGGGTCTCTGTTCAATTAATCTATTTTTCTAAAATTATTTTGGGAAAAAATAGCAGATTCTACTTTTTAAATAGCCTAATTCTAAACTTAATAAATATTAAAATATATTATAAAGCAAAACTAAAAATGTAAAAACAGATAAAATGGAAATAGCAAAAATAAATATTTTATATTAAATTTCCTTCCTATCTTCTCATTTGTATACATGCATATTACTTATATATGCATGTATATGACCTGATCCAACTCATTTTTCAAAATAAGAGATATTCAGGTTATTTTACAAATAATAGAATAATTAAAAGTAATTTGGGAGGTAATATAACTAAGTACTCATGTAAATAAAATATTACCTACAATGAAGTTTTTTAAATAAACTCCAGGGAAAGCAGAAAAAGACTATGCTGCATTTAATAAGCATTTGAAGAAGTGAATTTATATTTTACAAATTTAAACAGGTGACTATACAATTTCTTTTAAAAATGTTAATCGTGAAAAAGAGCGTAACAGTTTCTTATCGCAGCCCGGACACACTCCCCTCTCTCGGTTGCGCCCCTTACCACCCCGCTCCCCAGACGCTGCCGCCCCCCTCTCTCTCCTTCCAGTTCGGGGTTTTTGCCTTCCCTATACACCTCCTTTGTTTACCTCCATCGCGATACTTTATATGATAAAATACAACATGTCGATTAAACGCAATAATCATTCCTTTTGTTTTCCCCACTAAGTGACCACCTTTTGGAAAGTGCTCGTCAGTCAGGGAGCACAGTGCTTAGCAGTTAATCTGGAAATGATCATTGAATGAATGAATGAATGAATGAGTATGAAACCAGCTCGGAGCCTTTCCGATGTAGCTGTAGGTTATGGACAACCGTAGATGGAAGCAAATGTAAAGATGATAGGGGAGGTGACAGCATTGAAACATAGTTGCATGGACTCAAAAAACTGTAACATCTATAACCCACTGTCCAGTCCCGTCCACGTCCCCTTAAGTTTGAATTTATGTTGCACTTTCTAAAGTCATAAATCAATTTCGCTTAAAAATACCTTTGGGAACCTTTGAAGGAACATTTTTTATAATCTCCTTTCAATCTATTATATTTCTAGTTAACAAGTTTTATGAGAAACTTGGCTCCCTCCATTAAAATGTCCAAACAGATAAAAGTACCCTGTCAAATCTTGTATTCTCCTTTCCCTTTATTATTTTTGGTGGGTTTTTTTTCCTGTTTCATTACTTTCTCTGAGCCATTTTTATGTTGCCTTATCATTTTAAGCTAAAATGTAACAATTTTTTCCTCATTACATCACGTCCTTCTCATGCACTGTGTCCTGAGACCAGTTACAGTTGTTAAGAAATGGGTCAAGTGCACACGAGTGAAGAGAACACAGGACGGATTGGCTGGCAGAACATCACAGCCGGGCAGGTGGGGGAGGGGGTGTGGGGTGAGGAGGAGGAGGCCAAGCTGGAAAGAAGGAAAGTGGTGAAGGCGGTGGGACGATCAGGGTTTGACCAAATAAACATGGATCCACTTAGACTCTGGCTCCAGCCCTGATGATCAAAGGCCAATAGTGAAGAATCTCTAACATCCTGGGCTTCAATTTCTATCTGGGAACTTGCTGCTAGGTGAGAATAATTTTAGCAATACTGAAGCCATTCAGTTCTAGTTTACCATCTTCTGCAAGCACGTGCGGGGCAGATGCATTCCCAGGACATACCTACCCTTAAAATAACAAGGCTTGCTTTGGCACGCCCCCACCCCGTCTCCAACGATGTCCTGGACCACTGCACCCGTTGGGTCTAGGCTGCCTGGAAATACCCCATCTTCCAGAGTTGCTTAGTCTGGGTCTCATCCTGCTTGTCACCCATTTCTACCTCCCCCCACCGAAATTGTTGCAGAAAAGTTATCCACTTGTAATAATTCACAACAAACTAATTTAGTTTCAGAACTGTTTTGCAAGCAAGGAATAAAATGGTCATTCTGTAGTCACGGAAAATTCACATCATTTCCCTCTACTTGCTGGTGCATTATGGGTACATTTGTCAAAGCCATGGCACTAACTTGAGTGTTGTTCAAACAGCTGCACTTCACCTGTTAGGAATTAGACAGATGCACAGTCATCCTCACTGCGACATATGTAAGGACCAGCTCACCAGCAGAGACTGATGTCACACTTAAACACACATTGATGGAATATGTCATCTGAAATTGATGACATCAGCAAAGAATTGAAACTCCTTCAATTTTTATCACTAACACTTTGTTGAATCAAGTCCTGACACTTCAAATTGCACTTTGTCATCACTTAAACAGTTTATTAAGCTTGGCACGATTCTTGAGTTTTAGACATGAGCTAGAAATAAAACAAATCTCTACACGACAAAAGATGTCTCCACAAAACCTCAACCAACAACAAGTAAATGGCGTAACCCTAAAAGTATTCCTACTAAAAAAAGACAGAATGCATGTAAAGAAAAAGTTTTCTAAGATTAGTAACACTGACATTGTTCTGAACTTATTGACTGTTTGTCAATAAGTAATATTTTACTTTTAAACATTACTTGTCATATCGATGTGTGCAGGGAAATAACTGTATATCTAGTTTAAAGAGGAGCTGGTATGAAGTTTACAAGCTGAAAGTCACACAGGAGTATGTTAGAATGTATAACTAAAAAAAGCTCTTTCTCAAAAAGTATTAAACACGTTGGAATAAACTGAAATAAATTACTACAGGATATAAGTAAAAAAAATATGTGCCTTTATTTTCTAGTGAGAGACCCGCGGGGAGAGAGGCTTGTGCGTGCTCTTTGCTGACAACGTTCCTCGGGGGTCAGGGGCTGGCACGGGGGGGCACCCCACTCACACTCTGCTGCCTTAGAGAAGACTTTTGAGAATTTATGAATGATAAGTAACTCATTTAATTTTAAAGTGTCAATCCTCTACCTATCACACAATTAACTATCATGAACGAGGAAAGCAAATTTCCTGCAAGAAGAAACTTATTAATCTATTGAGAAATGGCGATAGAATTACACTTAATTATGAATCCAGAAACTGTCCCACTGATGCCGGAAAAAAACTGCCGGCACTCACACTCACTGCACCTAAGGCGCATCCTGTCAGAACATTATCTTACATGCAACCACAGGGAAAAAAAACCCTTTCCACAAGCTCTATCACAGAGGTCACATTTTTATTTTTTTCAAACTTATATAATGTTTTTACCCTAATGATTCAAGTAATACACATCTACAAGCCTTTTAAAGCCATGACAATATCAGTTCTAAATGATCAATGAATATTTCTTGAGAAAGAGTCAATATCTATTCCTGAAATGAATCCAGTCATTATATGATTTGAAGGATTTTATTGTCTAATTTGTGTTCAGGTTCTGTAAACGTTCACATGCAGTTAAATACTTTGACATAAAGCCATTTTAGGAAAAATTCTAAGCAACAAATTAGAGTAAAGTAGATTACATTTTACTGTCATAAAGTAAATTATATTTTATGACAGTTACAAGGGAAGTGATTATACGTATTATACATATTATAATGTTCAAAAGTATTTTAAAATATTTTCTGGAATCTTATGTCACATAGAATTATGAAAAACAATCAGAATGGCATTCAAATAAGCTTCGCATAGGATTTAAACTTCTCACCATCAAAGCCACTCAAACGCTGAGCTACAGAGCAGTAAAAAAATCCACATTTTCTAGACCACATTTTTATTACCACTGTGAAAAGCACATTAACAAATGCCTGATAATAGAGTTAGAGAAAAAAAAACACAAAGCCTTTCATTTTTCACTCTTACCTTGCGCTACACAGCCCGTCCATAACACGAGCCACAGGGTCTTTGCTGGGAATCTCATTTTGAGGGATCTTTCAGGGGTACATTTAGTGGCTGACAATGCTCACACTCTCTCGGGTTCTCCTCTGTGAAGAAAAGTTGTGATTAGTGCAGGAAAGTACTTGCTCCAGAAGGAAGTTGAAACGTAGGTCAGGAAACAAAGACATGACCAAAGGCCCCTCCCATCAGAAACATTTGCAAAGTTAGGGAAAAAAAAATCCACCACAAGCCCCAGCAGCCCAGAGCTTGCAGACAGTCTCACAGCGCGCCCACTGCATGCCAGTGCTGTGGCCGGCGGCTCTGGGTTTGCTTTTATAAACTAGGCGAGCTCTCTGCTGGAGCCTGCCCGGGTTCTGGGAGTGGGCAGAGCAGTAACTCCCGGTGACCTCTGGGTTCAGAGACCCTCTGCTTACACAAACCCCTGTCAGGCCCACAGTGCAGACGCCCCAGCAGATCAAGTGCAGAAGCTCTTTTAAAAATCCTTTAGAGAACCCGAGGGCAGACAGCCCTTCCACGGTGGAGACCCAGATGGCCTGGGTCAACATTGCCAAGAATGCAAAGCTGGCTGATCTGGGGCACCTGCTTTTCCGGCAATTTATGCAGTTGATCTTGTGTGCCAAGCAACAAGTTCGCTCTCACGAGGTATAAGGGGTTTTAGTAACTCCAAAAGCACAAAACGGGAAGGCTGGCTTTTTAAAACTTTGTATTGAGACTATGCAGAAAGAGAAGAGCAAATATTCAGCAAATGCTTGCTGAATACTAAGAAGGTGAAGACACCGAACAGCACCCCCTCGCAGGAACCCCCAGTCCCCCCATCCCGCCAGGCCCTCCCCCTCCACCCCCAACACAGGTGCCCTCTGGACCCATCTCAAAGACCATGGGATTTGGTTGGCCAGTTTTGGATTGATTCTTTTGTGTTTAGATTCTTCCACTAAAAATTTTGTTTAGTTCAACCACACTTTTGTGCATAGTTACACAGATCATTAATTTTTATAGCTGTGTCCAGTACTTGAATATGCCACATTTTATTTATCTTTGTGCCTGTGAATGGGCATCTGAGTAGATTCCAGTTTGGACTGCTTATATTATTCAAAGTTGTAAAAAATTAGCATTTCGCACTTTTAAAATCAGAAGTCAGTGACATCTACACCGAGTGACAAATAACTGTCCAGAGCAACCCGCACACAGCACAGGAGTGTGGAGCAAGAAGTCACTTCCTCCCAAGGCTTGATTAGGGATGATCTCGTGAATATTTCATCATTAAATTGTAGTGTAAGGGAAGCGTGCACCTGAGTAAAGACTCTAAGGTATAGAGGAAAATGCAGAATGTTTCAGAATTAACCAGGCACTGGAGCACTGGTGTTGCATGGGGAAGTTGCAGAAGAAGTAAGAAGGGTTTTGCACGAGGAGTGGTTTGAATCTCAGATTTAAAAAGCTGTACATCATTTTATAGACGATATGTAACCTAGGTGGATTTAATCAAGGAGAAGGACTGTAGGAAGCTCAGTGTCGTGTCGGAGTGGCTGTGGCAGTTGCATTGGAGCGGAGGGAGAGGGAAGGCCTTGGAAGAACATGCAGCGAACGAGCAGATTCCTGAAGGAATTCCCGACTCACCAACGGCTGGAAGCTAAATGGAAAGACAAAGGCAAGACCGAGGAAGGAGTCGGGCTGATGCAATGTAGCCTCGGGAGTTCTCATTGGAACAGGCCCAGGCGAGGACCAGAAAGTGCCCCCAGTGGGTGTGATGACCTTGTAGAAATTGAGAAGATGCCCTAACTGCTGGAGCGTAAGCTGCCTCTGCTCCATCACGCTGCCACCAGTCCGCTGGCGTCAGACAGCCCCGGGCAGGCGGGGGACTCAACCGAGAACTCCAGGAGAGAACCCACTTAGTTTGCCTTTGCTCAGGGATATTCTGCGATCACGATTGTCAGTAACTTGGTGACGGTGGCCCTCCGAGTGTAAGACTGGCTCCTAGCAATATGCCTGTCACCCCTGTGCCCGCCCAGCCAGGGGGGCACCGTGACACCAAGGTGCAGGCTGAAGACATAGCACACACGTGTGAGTGTGCTCGGCAGTGCCTGGCCCAGAGCTAGACGGGCGTTGAAGAGGAAAGAAGTGTGTAAGAGCGTGGGACGATCATCACACACGTCGCAATTTAAGCAGATGATTGCATTCTCCTGGGCGCCTGGTAAGGACGGAAGTGTGCTCCGCCCCGCCTGCGGGCTGCGTTGACGTGGGCGAGGCTGCCGCAGCACCTAACGTCTCTACAATGACATCCAGGGCAACCTAGTGCGCAGGACCTCAGCCCAAAGAGTGTTTAGAAATATCGATCGCAGCTCAGAGACTCTTCTAAGGCCCTGAAATCTGGTACTTCATTATGTCAGGAAAATTTCACAGAGTTTTTCCAAAACTGGCCAACAACCCTAAGAATTTATAGGACGGTACAAATCATGACTTATGAACCCTTCCAGCATTTCAGTAGCAAGTAACAGGTTTAAATCACACACGCAAAGAAAAGACTGACTTACTTTCCTGCTTTCTCCATACAGGAAATACTAGAAAACGGTGTCATGTGAAGAGACAGTCCACGGAGCATGCGGCCAACAATGTAAAGTAAGGGCGTCACAGTGTGCGAGACAGTTATTACACAGATGAGGTTATTTCTGGTTTTCATCATGTCTACAGTGTTTGTAAATGTGCTAACTCTGTGATTAGCAATAATTCATTTCTAATTTTATGTTCCTTCTTTGATTTCTAATTTCAAGCCAATATTTGCTTTCAGTCCTAATTTTTGTTCTCCGTCTGTGTTCCCCTGTGGGCAGTCCACCAACATTGCGTGTTCCATGCAAGGAAACTGGATCTGTCTTGAGTATGGTGCAGTATAAAAAGTGACGGGCAACAGCGAAGGTCTCTCTGCACTGTGACATCTAGAACACCGCAAGGACCCTTATGTCGTCCCAAAGGCGCCTGTTTGCAGGACAGCGCTTGGTGCCTTACTGTTTCCTGACACTAATCACGACAGGACAGTCTTTGTTGTTGGGTCGCTGTAGGCCATGGGCAGCTCTGGCTTCTGAGCCCTTATTTGTAAGGGCGGCCATGAACAACTTACTCTTGTTTAACTTTAAATTAACTCCATTAAACGTCCAGTTCTTCTACATCTGGTCAAGACAGAACCTAGAGCACTGCCATCTTTCCTCCTCGGTCACGTGGAAAACCACATATGGGGAACCCAACGTAGCACGGACTGTGGTGACGGTCTACCCGTGTCCGTCCTCACCTATGTGGAGAAGCCCCACCATTGCAGGGCTCCCGTTCTTCCTTCCCAGGAGGTGACTGCCTTGCTTTCTTCCCAAGGGGCACCGCGGCTCTGCTGGCATAGCCTAATTGAATCATGCTTAAGAAAGAAAAGAACAGCATCTCTGCATTTTCTTTAATTCTATTTGGGAGGAAATGAGGACACAAGGGCCTCCATTCGTATTTATTGCACTTATTTTATTAGGTGCTTTTCTACAACTAGATTGCAGGCTCTTCGAGTAATTCAACCTCTTAAAGGAAAAGAAGGAGAAAACCTGCCATCTCCTTGGAACTTCCTCAGTACTGCCGGAGCACCTTCGGAGAACTCGAGGGGCCTGGGCAGAGGAAGAGCCCCTCCCTGCCCCATGCCTGCAGGCCCCCTTTCCCTGGTCCCCGCACATCCATCCCAGAACCCCCACACGACCTAGCTGTACGTTTCTGAGACTTTCAAGCCTCTATTTGGACGCCGTGAGCAAAGTCCCTTGTTTGCCTCGGTGCCGAGATTGCTTCACACTCACCCTGACCTAGCAGCTGCGGCTGATTGATGATTAACTTTTATGTGCCAGGTGCTGTATCAAATGCACTAGCCACTCTAATTCTCCCCTAAACCTTGCAAGCTGGTTCCATGGTTCCCTTTCACTCAAGTGACTGAGTGACCTACTTAAGAGTCGAACCCACGTTGCCTGGTTTTACGGTTGGTCGTGTCACCCCTTGGCTCCCTGCCCCCCCCCCTTCTGACTCTAAACGTGCGTTACTCCCACACTTTGGCCCCAGTTTTGGTTCTGAACAGAGAAAAACTCTTCGAGTTGGCCAATGAGATTAACACGTGCCCCATGCCATCCCACCCCGAATTTTATATAGCAATCAGCCTGGACTTCTGATAATAGAGACGTGAACACCTGAACTCTAGGGGATAATATGCCTCCTTTTCCTCTGCCCCTGGAAGCGGTGAATCTTTCCATCTCTTTGACACGTGTAAACACCGCAGGAGACACCTAAGACTTTGTCCCCAGAGACTGAGGGAAAAATAAGGTGGGGGTGGGGGGTGGGTAAGAGGCTTTTGTAAGAATACAGCCTGCTGTCTAGAAGCTGCCTTGCCCCAAATCTGGTCCAAATCCTGCATAAGATTGTCAAGGGCAAATATACAAATGTTAAAAGTTTTCTCCCCAAACACCAGGGGAAAGTTTTGGCCACGGGAGCGGGCCTCTGACTCATGGCCGAAGTCTGGGAGCCAAGCTGAGGGGTCCTTTCCGTGTCCGCAGTCTATGCATCTCCGTGGACATTACACCGTGCACTTGTGATGCTCTTCTGCCTCCCAAGGATATCGCCTAAGTTGCTTCGTGAGAAAGTTCCCTTCAGTTGGTTTACAATTAGCTTTAATATTAATAGCATATTTAGGTAAAACTGAAACTCAATTCTCTCTCATTTGCTGATAGGACAGAGTTTTCTTGGATACCTGGTCCGTTCTTGATAGGATTGTGAAAGGTTTGTTTAGGTTTTACGTAATCTGTCTAGGAAACGATGATTCTGTGTTTTATGAAAATGATTTCCTGTAGTTCCCATTTTCGTTATCGGGGCTTACATTGCTTGAGGAAACGGATTCTTCTCCATTACAAGGGCTAATTTTTTTTACAACTATATAACACCCTGATTTGCCGTTGATTTCTTTAATAGTGACTTTGTTTGGTTCAATGAGTAACTAAATATTGTCTCACCACGACCTATGAACCTTTTTAATCGAGTGTTTTATCCCTTTTGACATTTACTACAAACTTCCCCAGAATGAAATTTTACATAAGTCTTGTTGAACTAATCCTTGAACTAATTCTGGGATTTTTAGGAGAGTCCCTGAAACATCTCAAAAGATGTACTCTCTCTTTTTTTATTAGAGCTATTAAATTAATTAGGCTTATTTGATATGTTAAACTACATGGGAAGCATTGTCAAATAAGAAGTGATACTAAACCTTTCTTTAGGTTATCTTGTATAACTATATTATTTTATTACTTATTAAATATGTTATGATACTAAATTATTGATATATTATTAGCACAGTTATTAACACAAGTGTCCTGCAAAAGTGCTTCATCTTCAAGGACTTCTGTGGAAAGACTCTGACAAGTGCAGGCTTCTGGTAACCGAGCTCGACCTGCCTTTGTGTGGTGGGGGCAATAAGGGAGGGACCTGCCAAGGGCTTCCCCAAGGCCACCGGCACAGCCCAGAGTCTGTCACGGGTGGTAGCCCAGACCTGTCCCCCTTCCC